GAAAATTAAAATAAATAATAAATAACTAAAGACCGGATTTATATGTTTTTACATATCAATACCAGGTGTATGCAGTCTTATGAAAGTAAAAAATGTAGACGATTCGTTCAATTATGAATGTGTATAAAAAACTTATTTTTGCATATTTCAGAATATTTCATGGGTTAGAGAGAATTTATCCCATTTAGCATATTTTGAAATATTTGGTAAATTGTAAGAAAAAATGTATATTTATTTTTAATTTTAATATTACGGTACCCAGAAAAAAATTATTTGAACATTTACAATTTTTTTTTTTTATCATTTCAAACTTACTAAAGTGCAATTGTATTCCAATAGAATAGGCAGCTTTTAATACATAATTAATGCCTCACTAAAGGTTTTTTAGAGAATATTAACATCTTATTTTAGGTATTTTAAGAGAATATAAATCCGGTCTTTATACATAACTAATAGTTATGAAAATATTATATTATATACCTACATAAGATAATTTTATGGGATGATATTTTAGTTAAAATAGTTTACCTTAGAGGTATAGCATGAGGTGTAAGCTTTCTACCAGCTCGTGGTGAATAGTTTAACATTTTTTGTATTAAAGGCTTTTCAAAATGATATGGTGCAAAATGAAGTGAACATACTACAGCTGAAAATATTATTATTATAACTTTGTAAATTTATAGATAATTTATAATTTATACCACTATTTAAATTAATGCATTTTCCATCAATATTAGAACCAATTTGCATTAACCACTTATTTCTAATATCCTCATTTTTTGGAAACCTATGTAAATGAACGTTAGGATTACTCTGTATTCCTTGTTTACGAGAGCCGCTGTCACAATTCGGGAACACACACACAGGCATTTCGTGCAGTTTAGTTTTAAATTAATAATTATAATTTATTATAACTCAAAAGAAAATCAAATATACATTTCATAGGAAAATGGACAGGTAATTGAAAAAATACACTAAATAAGAATAAGAAAATATGTTTTTATTAAAATCACAGTCTACATATTTTGATATATCATTGTATCAATCACAAATTATAATTTATAAGCTACCTAATCAAATAATATTAATTATATTTGTATGTATATTGTATTATTAATTGATATAATATTGATTATATAAATACAAGAATCTAAGTATATTTAATATTTATTATTTATACATAATATATAAATTACATTTTTATAATACATATATGACATTATTAATAACATAGATACAAATATAAAAGTATAATTAATTATACATTATACAATGTTATAGTAATAGAACAAAATATGTACAATAGGATAATACAAATTCACTCTTTACAATATCATTATATCTATTTTGTCATATTCTACAACTGTACAGTGTACGTTTGTAGTTTGTATAGGAACTAGGATTCTACAACTGTTTTACACTGGACACAAAAAAAGCGGGAAAATACAGGCCAATGAAATCAGGAGAACGGCTTACGTCACAGTTCCAGATGAAGTGCGGGAGGGGTGCGCGTTCTCGTTTAATATTAGTTATGTTGATAGCATACCTATCTATTTTGTCATGACGTTCACTTCACAATATCACAATCGGCCATTCAGGTAATTCACAACAATCAACAGTGCGGCGGTGTCCGTGCACGACGCCGTGACCACACGTTGTCATTTTTTTTTTTAACATATTCCATGAAAATTCTACAATCGTGATCGCGAGTAGGGTTATGGCGATAAGAATCGTCCTACGAGATCTCCACAATATTTAAGTTTTAATACTCTTGTAAATCATACAATATACAAATGACAAATTATGTTATATTATTATGTAATTTATCATGCAATGTAGACGCAGTCGCACAGAATAGATGAAAATATGAAATTTCGCCTATTCTGTGAATCATCAGTTTATTTTAAATTATTTTTATGTAATAATATATAATACCTATCAATTTTTATAACAATCATAGCCTATAGGTATTAATTTCATAATAACTAAAATATTTCTACTAGGTACCTAGTATTTAACTATCCACAGATGGGCCTTATTATATTTTAATGTTTGAAGCCGTGCCCCGTACTCCTGTAGGCTGTAACTAATATTTGGGATTTTTAAGTAAAATGCATTTGACATTTTGACGTTTTTTTTCCTAGATTTGTGGTGATTGACGATACCCTAGTGGCTAGTGCAGCAGTAGATGTAAATTCTAGTACCCACTGAAAAATTTTGAGATGGGAGCTCGGGAAAATGTACGTAAAATATTTTACCGTTTTAAAATTCGAGTGGCCACTCATTTCAATTGTTTTCATATGTACAACTGTACAAGATACACGTACAACAACGCTATAGTGACATCCATATTTCTATAATGCAATATGCATGATATAAATATAACTATATAGTTATATACCGACTTATATTTATATCATGCACGTCATGAGATCTTCCAGCAAATAATTATTACCAAGACAATTTTTAACACCATCATCTCTGATTTAGCCATTTAGGTAATTTAAATAATATTTTTAGTCCAATATAAGTTATAACCAGGGCTCGTAAGTTCATGCATCTGCATGTTTTTTTTGCTACACAGGAAAACATGCTAACTGTGATACAAATCCGTTTCATAACAATAGTAATAATAATATGAAGTTTGATAGTGCATGTTTTCGCATGTTTTGGGTGTAAAGTCATATTTGGCATATAGTCGATTTTTTACAGTCATTAGTGCATATTATTTCATAAAAATATTTTTTAGACAAATATTTGAAAAGTTTCTTCCGATTTTTGATATCTTGTTCCAATCGTCCAATATCGCATGGTAAATTATAACGGTTTTTTAAATTTTTTATTGATTAATTATGTAACTAATTAATAAAAATATCGAAAATCGGGCTTCTTACGATTGTAAAAAAAGTTCTACTCTACAATTTTTATAATGGGTATTTTTACTGTAAACTACTTTAATAAGCCGTATTACTTGAATTACGAAACCATGGTTTTATGCCATATTTTGTCTACTAGTGCGCCCTCTCAAGTTGGAAAACATAAAAAATACACTTATAAAATATATATTACTAAATTATCTCAAAATGAAAAACCTAATATTTAATTCCAAATGTTTTCATTGTTGGTGCTGAATAAGGGTGTACACAAATTAGACAAAAATGACTACCTAATTAAAATTTATATAGGTCAAAGCTATTTGAACTTCACAAGTATTAATTTTATTTTTTATTTTATTAATTTTGACTGTTAAATATATAAAAATAAAAAGGAATAAAATACTTTTAAAATGTATGGATTTATTCTTATTATTTTAAAATTTGGTCATGTTTTTTTTACATAATGCATATTTTGAGTTCATAATTTAAAAATGTGAAGGCATATAAATTCATATTTTCGAACTTTTAAGTGCATATTTTAATGCATATTTTGACAATTTTTAGTGCATGAATGCATGCTTATTTATGCATTTTTTAGTGCATGAAGTTACGAGCCCTGGTTATAACTAATATTAGTTGGAGGTGCTAAGCACCCCTTGGTACGCCCGTTTATCCATCAAGGCATACTTTAACTAGTTTAACTTATAATATCAGGGTGATTGATTTAGCGTAAAACACTCATTATCTCAAAAAGTATTAATGTTTTTGAAAATATTGTTTTTAATAGTTTCAAGTTGTTAAAAAACAACGTTTTCATTAAAAAATTATATTTTTAAATATTTTTTATCTTTATAGTTTTTTACTTTTTTGAATAGCAGCATAGAGTTTTAATTTCATATTCCAAAGCAGAATATTTTTCTAATTATTTTGATACATAAAAATCGAACTTAGGACGAGTAGTTTATGAGTTATAAGTAGTTTAAGTTTAGATTGGCGGAGTGGAGTGGTATGGGGTTACCCCGCAAAATGTTTATCCACTACACCGCCCATCTAAACTTAAAATACTTATAACTCATAAACTACTCGTCCTAAGTTCGATTTTTATGTATCAAAATACTAAGAAAAATATTCTACTTTGGAATATGAAATTAAAACTCTATGCTGTCATTCAAAAAAGTAAAAAACTTAAAAAATTATAAGGATAAAAAATATTTAAAAATATAATTTTTTAATGAAAACGTTGTTTTTTTAACAACTTGAAACTATGTAAAAAAATATTTTCAAAAACATTAATAATTTTTGAGATACTGAGTGTTTTACGCTTAATGAATCACCTTGTATATAAATATAATACTTGTGTCTTGTAGTAAGGAGTGGACGAGTGGTATATTGGTTTTATAGTTAGCTTAGTTATAAAAATGTTATTGAGTTCGTATTAAACTTACTAAATAAAAATATTATACAGTATTAAAAAATTGACGTACATTTACTTAAAATTTACGGTGAAATTCCCATCTCTAGAATAAAAAGGTAGGTACTTCGTACTTATTACAAAATGCTAATATAAATATTCAGTGAAATTTTCAAGTATCTACATTTTACAGTCATTCGTTTTTTAATCACAACAAAATAAGAAAATCATTACATGAGAAATCGAGTGAATATAGGGTTGCCAACCGGCCGGTATTTTCCCGGCCCGGCCGGTATTTCACATATTTAGACTTAAAAAGCCGGTTGCCGGTATTGACCTATAAAAAGCCGGTATTTTCAAAGTAATAATATTGTAAAATTATAAAAACCCAGTAATTCCACCTGATCGAGAGTTTTGATATTATATATTAATATTTTATCATTTTTATGAAATTGATTATCACATGTTACTGTCAATAAATCGTATACCTATCTTAATGACTTCAGATATCTATCGTCCTTTTTGACATTTTTATGAGTACTATGATTAGTATGTACCTTGTTAGTTGTTCCTATTATGCCGTTCTCGTTGGTGAATATGTGATAGACGATTCATAATAGAGTTTAGTTTCGTTATTCTGTTCGGACTGTTCGGTAGTACCTATTAATTTTACATTGTATATACTTGATTGAAAAATTATACGCATTTTTAAAATGAACGAAAATGAAACGAAAAAAAGAATTCGTAATTGTGTTTTTAACGATGAATGGTTAAAAGATCAAATATTTTCTGATTGGATCGCTAAACACAATAACCCTAATAAAGCACGATGTATATTATGTCAGACAGTTTTTAGTGTTAAGTATGATGGCGTTAAAGCTGTAAAAACACATCAAGAATCAAAAAAACATGAAGAATCCGTCAATTCTATAAATAAATCGTCCACTATAAAAAAGTTTTTTCCTACAAAGAATGATAAAGATGAAGACAAAATAGCAGCCGTTGAACTGAGTAAGTGTTTTCATGTAGTTAAACACCATCATAGCTATCTTTCCAGCGATTGTGGAGTAAAATTAGAGTCGAAACATTTCTCAGATTCAACGATAGCTAATAAAGTCCACCTGGGTAGAACGAAAATGGAAGCAATGCATTTGTTGAACGCGTTTTTAGCCACATGAATAGTTTGTGGACAGATGAGCGCAATCGATTAGGAATTGATACAGTTAAAGCCGAACTAGTCATAAGAAATAACATAACATACAATTGTTCAGAGTTTTTTGATCAAATACAAAATGAAAAACATTTATTAAACGCCGTGAAAAATGCCGCTAAATATAAATTTAAAAGTTTACAATAGTTTATTTATAATAGTTATTATAATAATTTATAAGTTTATAATATTAAAGTTTAACATAATGTAATACTAATATTATTAATTTTTTTATTTTAACGTATGTAATTAATTATATTATTCGTCATTTTATTATATTAATATTAAAAAATGATGACCTTTTTTTTTTTTTTTTTGTACACTTGGGCCGGTATTTTTTAATTCCAAAGTTGGCAACCCTAAGTGAATATCAAATGTTGTAAAAATTTGAATTTCAGAAGGTCATAAAAATGCAATTTGACTTTCAGGTTGACATTTTTTTTTTGATAAAGGTAGACAAACTTAAGAGGAATTTTGTATTAAAAATGTGTTTTAAAATTTGTTTACGAATTTATAACTCAAAATAATTTGCAAACTTAATTTCGTCATTTTTACGTATTTTGTCAATATTTGAATTTTAAATGCTTATAGAAAAAAATTGTGACTGGATTTTTAATTTTTTTCATCTGCCTCTGAAACAATATACTATAGGAGCTTTTTATTACATTTTCAAGCTTTTTAACCAACAAATAAAATTTTATTGATATTTATAGAAAAAAAGACTGAAAATGTCCGTAAACAGCTCAAAGTAAGTCAAAATGTTATGGTGTATAGAAAATACTAATATAAACATTCGGTCAAAATTTCGTGTTCCTATATATTCATATTTATTTTGGAGTTGCTTCAAAAACCAAAATCGATTTTCTCGAAAACAGATTTTGCGTAAAAATTCCCCGATGTACTTAATTTTTCTTTTGTTTTTCACGGCACTTTTGAAAACCACCAGGACATTTTTATTTTTGACCCCCCAAAGTACCAACTAGATTAACTTTCCTATCAGAAAAGTGAATCTAGTTGAAGAAAATCTAAGTATTTACTATTTTTACTGTCCTAAAATTTGATGACAGACGCAAAAATAAAAAATTAAATTAAAATTTAAAAATTTAAAAAAACACATCATTGTAAAATCAATACATTCATCACTTCGCTCAGAATCTAAAATGTAATGAGATCACACTTCAAGTTTGAGTTAGAACAGTCTGAACATGTTAACCTTATCTGACTAACCCTAAACTGTTATAACTTTAATTATAGGTACCTATAATATATTATATTATTACCTATTATATATTTTACTAATTTATGGGTGAAACTAAACAAATTTTGAAATGTGAGTAAAATGATGAAAATTTTTTTTTTGGTGGGGGGTTACATTTGAGGTGCAGGGCCGGTTTGATCCATATTTCCCGGGCCGAAAAAATTCGCCAATCCGCCCCTGTCTTAGACCGGTTAAAAGATTATTCAATATTATCAAAGTAGGACTTTAGCCCCCCTTAATTTTTAAAGGAGTAAAGTTAGGCAATTTAAATAGCTTCTCGGGGGAATTGATAAGACCATGGACAATAATAAGGCAGAAGGCTGGTCGCCACTCGCCAGGACGTTCTGCAGTCATAGATAACAAAGAATTCTTTATCATCCGTGTCTGCGATAGTCGTATATATATAGAGTGCCTTTATATAGCCCATTGAACTGAATATTCAGTTCAATTGTCGTGGTTCCCATTATTCCCAAACAGTTCGCATCGTTCGCGACTCGAGTTTCAATCAACGGTTCACACGGTTCGCGACTTCGCGTGAGTATATGATTCGGGAATCAGGGAGATAGTGACAGTGTGAACCAAGAACCAAAAAAAAAATCAGGTGATCCGGATCACCTCGGTTCGGCGATCTGGATCATATCGTTCACTACTTTGACCCGTTCAATAAGATCCGTTCGTTCGCGAACGACACATCTCTACTCTCTAGTCTCTAGTACCTATTTGGTAATAACTAATAATATGGTTGAGTCTTCATTGACCATTGTATCGATACCACGGGGCACGGACCAAGATAAATATATTATATCGAAAAGTATCGATCGGGTCAATATTTTGGCCTTTCGAGAAGTTACATCTGACATGTATGTTCAATTTACTAGCGATACCGTACCACAGTCTTAAATTAACGATTTGTACCATAGAAGTTACCGACCGGCGACCATAGAATATATTAAACATTCTTTAATCAAGGTTTTCATGAAGACTGGACTGCATCGATACGAGTTGGTACGTAACCATAGAAAAGAGATTACTTTTACCATCGATTAAATATAATATAATATGTATATTTAATCAATGCTTTTACGATGCTTATCGATTTTTTCCTCTTGAGTACCTTGAATTACAAACCCATGGCAACCATTTACATATAGAAATTTAACATTCGTACGGTTAGTAATCACTAAGTTTACGAAATTATGAGTGTTGGGATCAGTGAGTGAGTGGTTTTTGGCATTTACATACAGGTGAATTTCTAAGCATGATCGTCCTATTTGTATGGCGTATGCTTTATTTATCTGATTTTTGAATTTTTAATTACATTTGAGTCATTTTTTGCACACTTAAGGTTGATCCTGTGACAATACAAACTTCTGTAGTAGGAACCTCCTTTTTTCACTTATGCCCCCCCCCTTGATGTATCTAAATCAAAATTTGAACAAATGCCTAGGTTATGAATTATATAACTTTGGGCCATACTTACAATGTCTGGTAAAGTGTCTGTTAACGCTAACCGACTGATAACAGATTTTATTGCTGGCAGAATTTGGCCGGTTAAATGTCGATTAACTTTAACCGGACATTGTAAGAATGGCCCTCAGAATAATGTGTCTATGGTAATGGGTTAAGTGGGTATGGGAGCATAGATGATTTGAAAATGTTAATAATTAGTAATTACTATTGATCTATCAATATAAATAATTTGATCTAATTTTTAAAGTTACAACACGGTGAACAAATACAATGGATACATGAAATAGCATCAAACCGATAGCCAAACGTCCTGTTGGCAATCCTGGCAATTCCTTCCGCAAAAACAGCGGTTTTCAGGGCTACCCATAAGAAGCCTGCTTGTACATCGCCATTACATTCATTTCAAGAAAAGAAAAAACGAAATTTCCTTATATAAAATAATACCAAATGCTTTCAAAACACCCAATACTCGATTCCATTTAATACACCAGAAATTAATATCTAAAATTATTATTTTGGATGCAAGGCCGGAAATAGATATCAACAAAGAACTGACAATTATGGATATTACTATATTAGTGGAATAGGAAAAAGAAAAAAGGCTAGTGCTTAAGGCTAGCTATAAATTAAGAAACAATGGGTTTGCAATCAGAAGAAAGATTTTCATGTTTATTTTGACATAAAATGATGTATAATAATATTTTTAACTAATTTATTACAATATTTTAATAATAAAAATAATAATTTTGTATAAATTGTATAATATTTTTTTTCTTATTATATTTTAGATACCATTTAAGACCCAGATTAAGTGATTGCCTCAATAAGATTTTCTGCCATATACTTTATTTTTATATTGTTATTGCAATAAATAATAATAGCCTATAGCTATAATATATTATCTATTTTCATGTGATTATAAAATACTGTTGATCAAAATGTGTATGTTTTAATTTTTTTTTTTCAAAATAAAATATAATTGAAAAGCATTTAGAAAATAGATAGTTATTTTAATGGCCTATTGTAGGAAGAGGAAGTATGTTATTTTTAATTTTGCTGTTATAATGCATGATTGGTGTTCTTGCTTGCTACAAATTATAAATTAGTTTATTTATAAATAGATTGAATACATCTCAAAAAATGCTTAAAGACATTTGGAATTCAAATGAAATTTTCTGTTTGATATTTTCCTAATCAGTTATTATGTTGATTTATTTTCTAGGAATCGCATATGATATATCTTGTGGTTTTAAAAAACTACCTATATTTGGAGGAACGCCCGTGTTTGGATCAATATTTAAACAAAACAGTACAATACAATCCTTTATATTATTGAATTATTTTCTATTTATTTTGATAAGTTTAGTTAATTCAAAATCTTTTTTTATTGTTTGTTATTGTATAGATTTAAATTTTAAACTTAGTTCAGCAGCTCAACCACCATTGACTGAATGTGTGTCTCTGTCTACTGAATACACTTATTCAAACTTAAGAAACGCAGTTCAAAAAAAAAACACTGTCTTACCTACTCCTACTTATATTGGATTTGGTCAATATCGAAATCCCACCCAATTTAAACCTCAAACCGAAATAGAAAGGTATACCATTTTTACAGTATTAGGTTTCTTTAAAAACCACATTAAAATCATTAATTAATAAAATTATAAAAATTTATAATTTTTATTCTGTTTCAATACATTTAATCATAATATGGAGAAAAAATGATTTAATGAACAATATTGCAAAATAACATACTTAAATAAAATATGTGTGTTTATTTGTTTTCAGGTTAAGTGCCAATAGACCTCGTCGCCCTAAACGTCGTTGCCGATGATTTCCTCAATCGTTAAAAAAAAACCAATTCCTGAGGGTTCTGTTACTGGGCAGCCTTATTCTTCTTAACTTCTTTATATTTTCATAAGTTGGTTCTAAGAACAAAATTAACTAGAACCAACATCAATCCTAACTATTATTTTCAAAAATTGTATATATTAAGTATTCAACTGTGAAATATAAAATAATTTTAACCAAAATTAAAAAAAAAAGTTTGTACAACTCAATCTAAGAAAACCATTGTATTTATTTATATGTAGCTATTTTTTTTTTGTTAGCTAATACTAGTATCATTGATTAAATCAATGCTAGTATGTACCTTAGTAGTTGATGCTGTACCTCAAGGCAAAAAAGCATAACAAAAATGTCTAAAAAATTAGAAGAGATCATATAAACTGAGAATTTTAAATATTAATATTGAATAATATATAAATTGTATAATTATTGATTTATTTCATTTAATTTAGTTGATTGAGGATCCTTTATGAATAGAACTGTTTAAACATTTTTAATATATTTAACCCGGGTGTACATCATTACATCATTATTCACATTTTTATGAATTTTAAATAATAAATAACTGTTTCATAAAATGTGTATAATTTATAATTTTAGTTTAAAAAAAAAATGAAAACTGTTGAACGGTTTTCGACTGGTTTTTGGTGTAACTGAAACAAATGACAAATGTAAATACATGACATTTTCACTGAATGTTTATATTAGTATAAACTATAAATATATAAACCGTACAATTTTCAAAACACATGTATTTTAACTTGTTTTGAGCTGCTTAGGTAGGTACGTATTTTCAGTTTTTTTTTCTATGAATGCCAATAAAAGTTAATTTATTGGGTCAAAAACCTTAAAAATGTCATACAAGGTTCCCTAATATTTTGTTACAGTGGCAGTTGAATAATATTAAAAATACAGTCACAATTTGTTTATAATCATTTAACAAAAGACGTAAAAATCACGAAAACGTGAAAATTATTTTGAAATAGAAATTCATAGAAATTTTTCATTTTAAATCTAAGATTTGAAAATGTAATACAAGATTCATAAGTTTGTCTACCTTTATAAAAAAAAAATTTTTATTTACAATTTAAGCCATTAGAATTCCATAATTAAATTTTTATACATTTGATATTCACTCGATTCGTTATGCAGTGATTTTCTTATTTTGTTGTACCTAATTCAAAAAACTTATAACTGTGGGTAAAGATAGGTACCTACTTGAACAATGAACACAGTCTTAAAATATTTAAAAATATTCATAATCTGATTTAAAGAATGAAAGTCAAATTTACTTATTTACACCATATATGACATTATGTTTATTTTATCAATTCCAATACTTGATAACATTTCAAAATATTTTGGTTTGTTTTGAACTGTTTAGGAATATTTTCAGTTTCCAATTTTATTAGTCTCTTTTTCTTTGTATATGTCAATAAGACTATTTGTTGGGTAAAAAAGCTTGAAAATTTAATACAAGGCTCCTACTATATTGTTACAATGACATTTGAAAAATATTAAAAATCTTTAGTCACAGTTTTTATTTATAAATTATAAGCATTTAAAGTTCAAATTTTGACAAAATACGGAAAAATCACGAAAATTAACAAATTATTTTGAGTTGACAATTCATAAAAATTTTCCTTTTTAAATCTAAGATTTGAAAATGTAATACAAGATTCCTCATAAGTCATAAGTTTGTCTTCAAGTAAATCAAATTAAATTTTTATGAGCGTTTGAAATTCATATATGTTTATTGTTTACAATACCTATTGGATATTCACTCGATTTCTCATAGGTTTTGTTAAAAATTAAGGAAAAACGAGAATTTTTACGCAAAATCTGTTTTCGAGAAAATCGATTTTGGTTTTTGGTGTAACTCTGAAACAAATGGCCGTAGGTAAATGAAATTTTGACTGAATGTTTATATTAGCATTTTCTATAGAATATAACATTTTCCAAATATTTTGACTTATTTTGATCTGTTTATACCATTTTCAGTTTCCATTTTTTTTAGTTTTTTTTTTTATAAATATCAAGAAAATTTTATTTGTTGGTTAAAAAACTTGAAAATTTAAAAGAAGGCTCCTAATATATTGTTTCAAAGGCAGATGAAAAAAATTTAAAATCCAGTCACATTTTTTTTATAAGCATTTAAAGTTCAAATATTGACAAAAACGTAAAAATGACAAAAATTTGAAAATTATTTTGAGTTAGAAATTCATAAAACTTTTTCTTTTTAAATCTAAGATATGAAAATGTTACGCAAGATTCCTCATAAGTTTGCCTACCTCTATCAAAAAAAAAATGTCTACAAGAAAGTCAAATTAAATTTGTATGAGCTTTTGAAATTCATATTATTACAACATTTGATATTCCCTGGATCTCATTATGTAGGTAACGATTTTCTTATTTTATTGTAATTAAAAAACGAATGACTGTAGATAATTGATAATTTCACTGAATGTTTGTATTAGCATTTACTATACACCATACAATTTTGAAAATAATCGTTTTTCTTATACAATGACATTATATATCATAATAAATTCAAATTTAATACCATCCATTACAGCGATCCCCACCTGTAACCTAATGTACAGCCGAGTGGCATTTTTTTATGCCAATGTATTCATTTATACTGTACGCTTATACTAGATTTTTTCAGATTTAAAAAAATAAAATTGAAGTTGTAGGAACCTGGGAAAGTTCAAAACCGGACTCAATTCGCCCGTTTTGACGGTACCTACATTGGTACGATTTTTAATTATAAGCATTTGAAGTTGGCAAAGCGGTACCCTGCGCTTGACTACCTAATTTTAAAATAATTTTCCAAGAACAATAATCTTAATCGAATCATTTTGCAATAGGTAATAATTAATAGTTATAATAATGGTAAATACATAATTAATAATAATATATATATATATTAGTCCGAGAAAAAAATAGTTTTTATGTATAAAAACTATTTTAGACTCTGAGTGGAACGATGAATGTATTGATTTTACAATGATGTGTGTTTTTTTTTTTTGCGTCTGTGTACACGACAAGTAGTCGAAATAATGCTTCGATTTTCAACTTCAATATCTTTTTCGATTGGAAAGTGAATATCGTTGGTGCATTGGGGAGGTCAAAATTTAAAATGTCCAGTAATTTTCGAAAGCGCCAAGAAAAACAAAAGAAAAATTAAGGAAAAACGGGAATTTTTACGCAAAATCGATTTTTCACTAAATTGAATTTGGTTTCTGGTGTAACTTTAAAAAAAATGACCGTAGGTACATGCAATTTTCACTGTTTGTTTAAATTTGCATTTGCTATAAACGATAACATTTTCAAAATATTTTGATTTATTTTGATCTGTTTAGGGATATTTTCAGTTTCAAATTTTATTAGGTTTTTTTTATGAATAGGTATCAATAAAAATTTATTTGTTGAGTAAAAATACTTGAAAATTTCATACAAGGCTCCTACTCAGGGCCGTCCGGACGATTTGCGGGGCCCAGGGCAGAGTAAATTTGTGGGGCCTAAAATGTCATTACCGTCAGTTGGCAGTTGCATTTATTTAAATATTTAATATTATGAATTATGATATATACCTACCTAGGTATAAGGGGGCTACGCTCAAATATACTTAAAAATATAATACCTTGTACTTACAATAATATGAATAAGTAAATTAATTAATAATAAAACACGTAATATATTTATACTTAATATAATAATATTGATAAATTAATAAGTCTATAAATATAGTAGGCACCTAATACAATATGAAAAAAGGTGGACAAGTGGGTATCGCTCTGATGTACAGTGGGTGTCAAGCATGTCGTTGTAATGGATGTGTTATATTTAAATTACATTGATAAATTATTGTAAACGAAAAAATGTTCTGAGCGGAGATAATGTATCAGCCTAGCACACTTGAAAAATAATCAAATTTAGTAGCTAAAAAGAAATGAACAAAGATCGAAAACGTGACTTTCTGGGGAACTTTTTTAGTTTGATGGGGTACAAAAACTTGTTGGAAACCTTCTATTAAAATCTCTTAAGTTAGGTATGAAAAAAAAACTTTTATGAATTTTGTTAAAATTGGAACTTTATAAGCATGTAACAAATAATTGAGCCTATGTATTTTTAAAGCTTCCACTAATGAAAATTATAAGGAACCTATCATTACATTTTCAAAATTTTTTACTAAATGAAAAAGATTTTATCGAGGATAATTTAAAAAAAATTTAGAAAAATGGAAAAATTTCTTAAGGGATCAAGCCTATAACTAGCTCAATAGTCAAAATATTAAGAAAATGTTTTATGGAAAATTCTAATATAAATATTTGTTGAAAATTTCAAGGTTTGACAGTTATGAGTTTTTGAGATACACCAAAAAAATAAAATCTATTTTTCAAAAATTGATTTTGTATAAAAGTCACCTATTTTTTGTTTTTCTCAACGCATTCTAAAACTACTTACTCGCTCCGCTCAGAATCTAAGCATTTTTTTTTCTATAAATATTATAGCTAAGTTGGTGTTTTTTTTTTGGGGGGGGGACAGATTTTTATCATTTTCAACTTTGAAAATTGAATTTTAATCATATTAACTCGTTTAAAATGCAATACATTTATTTGACGACTGATGTCAATTAATATAAGTAGGTAGGTATAGGTAGTAAAAATACAGCAATTGAAGATATAAAAATATATAAATAATAATTTTTTTTTCTCATTAACTTGACTTTTTTATGGTATCTACAAAAGCGGGGCCTGTCCAACTGGAGAAGGCGCGGGGCCCAGGGCGAGGGCCCCGCTCGCCCTGCCCTAGGGACGGCCCTGCTCCTACTATATTTTTTCAGAGACAGGTGAAAAATATTAAAAATCCTAAGTCACAGTTTTTTTTTAAAGGCATTTAAAGTTAAGACATTTACAAAATATGGAAAAATCACGAAAATTAGCAAATTATTTCGAGTTAGAAATTCATAAAAATTTTTCTTTTTAAATCTAAGATTTCTTATAAGATTTTCTACAATTATCAAAAAAAAAAAAAATGTCTATAAGAAAGTCAAATTAAATTTTTATGAGCGTTTGAAATCAAATTTTTACAACATTGGATATTCACTCGATTTCTCATGTAGCGATTTCCTTATTTTGTTGTAATTCGAAAACGAATAACTGTAGGTACATGAAAATTTCACCGAATATTTATATTAGGATTTCCTATACACCATACAATTTTGAAAATATTTTGACTCTTTTTGAGTTGTTTACGGACATTTTCAGTTTTCAATTTTTTTAGTTTTTCGTTCTATAAATATCAATAAAGTTTTATCTGTTGGGCCAAAAAGTGTAAAAATTTAATACAAGGCTCCTGATATATTGTTACAATATCAGTTCAAAAACATTGAAAATATATAGGCATATTTTTTTTTATAAGCATTTAAGATCGAATTTTGACAAAATTTATCAAATTTAGAATTGAATAATTATTTTGTAGTTAAAAATTTATAAAATGTTCAACTTTTATGTCTAAGGATTGAAAATTTAAAACAAGATTCCACGTAAGTAGGTAGTTAATTCTTTTACCAAAAAATCTAAAAAATACATAAGCACAGTTTATTTTTATAGTCATTTTAAGTTCAAATTTGAACGAAATTACATATTAAAAAACCTAGAATAACTATTTTAGTTATTTTATTGTGATTATTCGTGGGTACCTGAAACTTCTAAAGTACCCTATTACATATCTATGATAGTTTCAGGGTTTGTTGGTGATGTATAATGCGTTATAAGTAGGTACCTAATGGATATTGTGATATGATTAATTTGGAATTTCTTATAATAGGTAGGTACCCTATTATAGGTCAATTTTTTTTAATATCTTAGATAGATGAGTACCTACCTATATACCTAACGTCTTATACCTAGACTGACAAGCCGTCTCCACTCAGAATCGTTTTTCTTACACAATGATATTATATCATTGAATTCAAATTTAATACCATCCATTATACAGTGACCCACTTGTAACCTACTGTACAGCAGAGCACCTTTTTTTTTTTGTCTCAGACTTTTATCCTTAGCCCTTAGGTTAGGACGTTAGGTCATTGATTAAATATTCATATTAATATACATTATTTAGACAATGGTGAGGTACTGAAAAACAAATAATTCTAAGTACCTACCTTTATGTATAGCTAAAAAAAATTGTATTCGTTTATTCGGACTTTTTTTTACTGTTTACCACATTAGGTCGTACATTAGATCCCAATCAGAATAATGTTAAAAGGGTGTGGAATTCGCCAAAACGATAGTCTTCGCATAAACAGTATCGTTTCAGTTTACGACTCGTCTTGCGCCTTTGCAGAGGCCGTTGATGCGATCTAGTGGATACGGAGTGAGTGCATTTCTTGTTGAAAACTGTAATGAGTCTGATTTCGGTATTTACTATTTGATAACAAATACGAGAAATAGGTACTTTTATTCTGTGTAGGTACCAAACACACAGATTATAAAATTTATAATCACGTAAAATGTGACATTACAATATTACATAATCGTTAATAATATAATATTTATCCATCTAAATTCCGTAGTCCGTACTATTAATTACCCGCTATCCGCAATGGCATGGTAGCCAGTAGGTATTAAAATTTAAAATCTAATGATATTATATGGTAAACTACAATGATTTTTTTTAGCTCTGTGATGTACCTATCTATTGTAATTCGAAAACAATGAATATTGAATATATTTTGTTTGTGGGAAGTTACAGTTTTTAATTAATACCAATAAGGCTATAGGTACCTAATACAAGTCAATCATATTAATAACTATAAATTGATTTGTTCACAGCGAAGTATCGCGTAAAAAGTACTGTAATGTTTATATTATTGTTCAATAATAAGCAGCTTAGACTGTATTAAATATAATGTAAGACAACAAACACCGAGAAACGCTTTTGGAGATGAATATTATGCATACCGGTCTCGTAATAGGTACCATTAGTTAAATTGTAAGCATTTGATTATGAAAGAAGTGATGGTTTAAAATCAATAATGAACTTGACCATTTGTACACCAATATAAAAAAGTTTTTGGATATTGATTAAACATTTCCAGGTAAAGTAGATACAAAAATTGAAATACCTACCTAGTTTTAGACCTAATAATCATAATTTATTGCTTAAAAACATTTTAGGTGTGCATAACGTATAATATTATAATTTTTTTTTTAGGTGAAATGGCGTTAAAGGTCGAGTCTGTACTCAGTTCCTTTGGGAATTCGTCGTCTAAAATTCCGTTTTGGAACATTGACTTACCTAAAAGTCCATGGGATGTAGATGATGACTTAGAAGACTTGGACGTATTGTGCGAATTGGTTAGAAATCAATACTTGAAACGTCTCCATCAAACATTGCTCAATAATTTAGATGTTACTAGTGGTTACAAAAAAAAACCTCTTTACCAGATTCAACATTGTGTTGATATATGTATGGCTGAATTGGAAAAGCAAGCCTTAAGACGATGTATGATTGCTAGTATTTATCGCGAAGGCATGACTAATTTGGTATGTTCTTATTTCTGTTTTACTATTTATTAATTTAAAACATATTTGTTATGTTTGTCTTGTTTATATTTATTCCTAGGTATAGCTGTTAATTATTTGTATTTATTATTTAAATTCAAATAAAATATTAAATATTATACCCATGCCTATTTTAACTTAATGTAGCCTCCGTTTGATAAATTAGTTTATAGTAAATTAACAATAAGTTTTTTATATTAGGTAGAACATTGCAACATGAATATTATAAAAAATGTACCTATTTATATTTAATTAAACTTTTATAGATAATTAGTTATACAAACATAATGATTAATAGCTTATGTTTTTTTATACTTAGATAAATAAAGTCAAGACGTGCACAAAAAATTCAATGCTATATGATTTGCTTAAGCAGATCATTGAGTCAAATAATCAAATACCATCATGTGATAAATTATTTGAAGCTGAAAGTTTAACAGTAAAATCAGTGGGTATTGATGTAAGTGTTAATACCGAACAAAAATGTAATAAAATAACATCAACACAGACTGAAATATGGACAGATCTTGACAATAATTTACCTAATAATTTTACTGTCAATAAAATTAATACAGATCTGGTAAATCAATCTAATTTACCTTCTAGTTCCTACAATGTAAAATCTAAGATCTCTGAATCAAATAATATCTTCAATAATTTAAATTCTTTATTAAAATCATCTTGTTCTTCAAATTCGTCTCCTGATGTTCATATGGAAGTAAATTATAAGTATGAATCTTCTGAATTTGAAAATATACAAAGGAAAGACGAACAAGAAAATTCCACACCAAATGATATAGGAAGTATCAATGCATTGCTAAGAGATCTTCAAGATTCTCCTGAATACGAACAACAGTCTTCCACATTGGAGGAACGTTTAATTGCACTAGGGTTAGCAATTGAAAATAATAAATCAACAGATAATTTAACCGAATTAACTAATCCAATTAGTCCTAGTATAATACGACCAAACAAAATTAATGAAATACTTACGGACAAATTTAAAAGTAAACGAGTAGCCAAATCATATCAATTACGAAATAGTATGAATGAATTGCCTCAAAGACTACAAATAAGACTGAACCAACAATTTAAAGACTTGTTTGGAAATAGTCATTTGTATGAGTCTGATCCATTGTCTGAAGAAGAAGAACGTATTATAGCACATAAAAGGATTGTAAAAATGGTTGTAGAATTTATGACTCCTTATTACAAAGCACACCGTATCAACAGACATTTATTTAAAAACCTTGCTAAATTAATCTCTAAGAATCTTATGGATCGATCATATGACCCAGGTAATTAAGTTTTAAGTGGTAGTTTATTTTATCTAATTATCAAGTTTTAATGAAACTTAATAAGATTTAACAAAAAAATTATCTATTTAATTAATGAAAGAATTAGATTTGAATGTGCCATTCTAAATAAACATATACAAAGTAAAAACAAATTTGAACAAACAATTGTGTTGCAATTAAATTTTTATTATTTTTGTAGGAAACTAAAGGTTAATAATGTGGGAAAGTGAAATCATTTTTATGCTTTTTGGCATACAATAAATACAATTACAATTAATTTAGTTTTGATGATAAAATTATACATACTTAAAAAACTCTAATATAATTGTATCTTCTAAATATTTTGTTTTTCAATTAAATTTCTGTAGCCTAAATAAAATATACTGGTTAAGTTAAATATAGTTTTATAAAATTATAAAAATTTGCTTTTATGGCCACTAAAATATAATACTTATATACTACATACATTTCAAAGACTTGTACATAATATATTTATATCTCTAATATAAACCACGACACTTGAAGTATATTGATTTAGGGAGCACTCAATTTCCAAGCCAGATAATTGTGGATTGAACTTGAAAACTGTTGAGAAACTAGCAGGTATCTAAGTACAACTTATTTTTTTTTTAAATAGCAACACTTATTTTTTGTATCATTCATTGGATATACCTATTTTTTCAAGTAATTTTGACTTAACAACAATAACTTTTGAATCAAAATTAGCTAAAAGCGATTTTAATTTTATAGTAATTACATTTTTTACAATTTATTGAATGTTGAAAATGTAACAGTTTATATCAATTTTAGTTTTAATTAATATTATTTTATGATTGTAGAGTTCAGCAATTGTAATAATCCAGTAAGATACTATTTATAAATTAGTACAAAATACAATAATGATGTTTTATTTAAATAACAAAACAACCTAAAAACATTAAAAACAAATATGAATGAATTTAAACATTTTAATAAATTGGAAAAAAATATTTTCAAATATTAAATTTGAAATGCTTATCATTCAGATAATTTTGATTTTACAGCCATTGGCGTTAAGTAAAAATGACTAAAAAAACTGAAATATGGTATTATAAATAAGTATTGCTATTAGAAAAATATAAATTGTAATGTTCATATTCCTATACATTTATGGTACAGAGGGGGTACTATAACTTGTAAAAAAAAGTCCTGATTCAATACAACTTGATCCTGCCAAGAAATCGAGTGTTCCCTAAATCGGTGAACATAATATGATATATATTTATGATATTCATTTTGAAAAATATTATTTATTTTATTGTTTATGCCTGTTTCTTGTATACAACATTAATATTTCATTTTTAAATTAAATTGTTTAGATGAAAACACGATAGCCAGAGGAGTTAGTGAATTTTTTGCTGGAAATAGATGCATTAAGACAGTTGAAGATATCTATATCAATAATTGAATAATCACTTCAATACATTCTAATTCATACTTTTCAATTTAGTACAATGGTTATTTTATTATACTTTTATGTTAAGTGATTTTATGATTTATGATTTTCATTAACTTGAAATATTTTTTTTTTCACATAATTTTTATTTTTGTGTATGCTTTATGTGTTTAATTGTGAATTATTGTTTTTTTAGTAATGTCAATTTTTAATAGCAATATATTTTACTCTATATTCAATATTTTACACTTTTTAACACTTTTACACTCATTTAAAATCTTTATAATTGTGAGATTCTTATATATAGTTATATATAATATCTATAGTTACTTATATATATACTATATAGTCATTACCAGTGACACTGACATGGGTGGCAGTGGGCCATGCCCCCTCTATTTTAAAATTCTGGTTCCGCCATGGCCCCTGGTTATTACTATAATATACATTTAATATAGAATTATGATTATGCTGCATCACTGACCACTGTTTAAGACCTAGATTTAAGTCAGATTTGAGAAATTGATGACGGTCATTATTAAGATGGCTTACTTATATTATTTTAATTTTTGAACAAACAATTATTTTGCGATTAATAATAAACTAAGTTATGGAAGACTATAAATATCTATAATAAATCTTTGGACCTTAAATTAGGCCTTAGTTAACCTTAGCTGTATCTCAGTAAAATTGTAACATAAAAGGTTATCACTGAAAAAAAAAAAAATAATGTGGAAATAAGTTCAATATGTTGCCAAATGACTAAATAGGTACCTAGGTACTAAAATTGTGTTTAGCCCAACTATGATTTATCATATTCAAATTAAATGGGTCAATGATCAGAAATTTTGTATGTTGGGGGGGGGGGGCTAAGTATACAAATACAATATGTCTTTTATTTACCCTTTTTATTAATTTATTAATCTTGATAAAGTTCTAAGGTCAACACGGTCAATGGGGGGAGGCTATAGCCCCCTATCCACTCTCCTGGCTACTCCACTGATGCTATTTATTATATTATTGTAATTTGTAGTAACATATACAGGGAGGTGGACTGGCCCAGTGGTCTACTGTCTTAGAGGACAGTAGGCCCGCTGTCCTTGGCTGGGTTTTGGACCGGTGCCTTGTAGGTGGTCATAATCATAATATAGAAGTTTAGGACATCGGTACATAAACATAATAGGATTATATATTTATACAGTTGTCCAAGCCAAGAATTTGTATTTTTAACAAATATATTTGTACAAAATGTATTTACCATATTTATTCTAGTCATAATATTAATATTTAGTACCTATAATACCTATGTATTATGTAACCAATTGCAACAATTTAGATAAACAAAAAAAATTTTCTTTTTTTGCTTAAGCTGAAAAAAACATGTGTTAGCTATACCCTTTAGCTAGGTATCTATAGTCTGTATGAGTTGAAAAATTAAGCTATGGACATCCTCCAAGTCTCAAGTAGGTACCTAATCTATATTGATATAGATAACCATAGAACAATATGATATAACTTTTATTGAAACCACGATAGAAGATATCTTCTCTACATCGTGATTGAAACCCTTCCAGTCTTTATCTTTTTTGAGGCTATAAACATCCAATTTCAGTTTTGAGTATATCTACCTACTATCTATACAATATAGCTACACATATAGGTGTACATTCAACTGTCATATTTATTTTAAGATATAATTTTTCTTTTCGAAACCGTAAACGTAACGATTTGATGGGTCCATGGGTGCTTAAACACCCCCACCCCCCAGAGTAACTAATGACAACTATTTATACACAAAAAAAATATTTATTTCTACTAATTATTTCTCTTGTAACCAATAACAACCATTTATAAACAAAAATGTCCATCGTAAGTGCTGCGGCACACACGTAGCGGTTGAAATACGCGCAGTGAAACAGCGGAATTATCGAAACAGCAAAAAATCGACGAGTAGCGTCAAACCTCCAGCTACCCACAATAACTGAGTAGGTACATAAAACAATTATCAATCAACTTCTTCGATCACATAAATTCTGCTCACAGTGCGACAAATTGCAAACCAAGTGACCCCCACCTTCTGTACGCGGACTCAAGCGTGGACGCCCCCCCTCGACCTGTTGTTAAAACTACATTTATTTATTTATTTTATTTTAATTTAATTTTCTTCTGATTGTAAATACTTGCAGAAAACGTAGCCAATACTAGGTATCTTTATTACTAATATTTATTTATTACCTATATTATTAGCTACCTATTACTAATTGTTATCTATTTTTCCAAATGCTAAAAAAAAATGTAATTCAACAACAATAAGTTAGGATGACTTACGTCAGTGAAACTTTAATTAATAAAAAATATATAGCGTCAAACCACGCGGATCAAAGCATCATGCCGCGTTTAAACCACTTATATGACGTTTGGCACCAGGATAAATCTCAAAATCCCTGTTTGAGATATTATAGCACCCTACGTTTTAGAGGTCTAGTTACGCCTATGCTCTCCGGGTTGGGCTTGGCTTACCAGGTCCAATTGTGAATCTAAACCATAGTCTTTCTCAAAGTGCAGAGCGATAGCACCCCCCGTGGGCGTTGGCAGTCTCCAAGGGGGCGATATAAGACCCGAAGAAATTTTAGGGGCGTTGAAGAAGACCATAGAGTGGCGATAAGTGATTAAAAAATATGTTCTTCTTATATATACACCAAATTAAAATTAAATACGTAGGTACTACATATGTTCACATAATTTCACTTACGTCTGTTTTTAAGTAAACCCAATACAAGTCTGATATTAACAAATAACAATCTTGTTAAAGAGCATCAGGTTTATTCAGATCATCTTTCCCTTTGGATATCTACGTTTTAATTTAATTTTAATAAAAATACTTTTAAATATGATTTAGATCAGTGATTAATGTTTGAACTTTAAAAATTAAAAATTTTAAATAATATGATCAAGTATGTATTTGTATTATGTTAATTGTATTGTTCTCATTCAACATGGAAGTTCGAACTCAGATATATGATATAGGTTGGCGTATTTAAATATAACAATTACAATAACTAGGTACTAGGTAGGTACTGTTTTTAAGATGCACTACAGATGGTAAGCTTAAACAATTTTGGTGGGCTTTAGAAAATTATTGATTAAATAAGTTTGAGAACCTGTGATCTAAACCATTCAAGGAACCACTCAAGCACACACAAACCATTTCATCAAAATCAGCCCAGCCGTTTAGGAGGAATTCAGTCATACACACACGGACAGAAAAAAATATATAAATATAATTATACAAAAATAAGACAGATGCGTCATCAATCTTTAATAGTTAAATATAAATTATGTTTTACTATAACTCATAACATTTCAATTCAATTCATGGATACTTTTAAAATTAAATTGGTAATTTTATTTGAATAAAAATTAACAGAATGAAAATTATTGTCTTTTTATATATATTATTATTCAAGTAGGTACTTATAATTTTTTCTCAAAAATACCATAAATAACTACAATAACACAAAGTACCTACATACTAGATACATTTTATTAAGAACCAACGTACCTATAGTAAATATAAAAAAGCGGGTAAGTGGATTTCGCTCTGCTATATAGTTGGTTTTAAATGGGTCCTTGTAATGGTAATAAAAAGGTATAAAAAGTATTAAATTTGAATTCAATGGTTTATCATTGTATATACGAAAAACGATTCTAAGCGAAACCGATCGGTCAGCCTACAATATTATTACAATAATTAGGTATATTTTATGATTAATTAATTTTAGTATAATAGGCATTAGTATATCTAATACAGCACCTTAGTTAAATTCATTAAAGAGCATAAATCATAGGAGGCTTGTATTAAATGTTCAAGCTTTTTGACCCAACGAATACAATTTTATTGGAAACTGAAAATGTCCGTAAACAGCTCAATACAAGACAAAATATTTTGAGAATGTTAGGGTGTATAGAAAATGCTAATATTATAAACATTCAGTGGAAATTGCATCTATATCTACGGTCATTTGTTACTACAAAAACCAAAATCGATTCTGTCAAAAACCGATTTTGCTTACACTCCGGCCCTGAATGTATATTATAATAATAATAATATTTTATTATGGAATAAAATTCCAATTTAAAATAATATCTTAATGACAGTAGTTGTAGGTACATGCGTGAGTTATACTAAATTAATACGAAAAAATAGAGAGAAAAAAAATCTTTGTAATATAATAAACTTGTTAGAAATTAAAAATTTGACAATTTATTAAACAACAATTTTGACTTAATTAAACTTAACAGTTAGGCAATAATCTAAAAATAGCAATTTAAAGAACTAAGTCATATTGAACAGGTCCAAGTTATTGAAAAAGTTTCCACATGACATAATAGTAGTTTAGTAAGACATGTAGACATGTAGTTAGTTTTTTTATTTTTTTATTTTTTTTTTTTTTATTTATTTATTTTACATTACGGGACTAGCCCAAAGTACAGTTAATGGAATAAGATACAGACAAAACATTATAATAATATTGATATAAAACAAAGACTAAAGATTAAAGACTCGAGAGGTTCTCATTTGCTAAACGCATCATTCGGTGGATAGGGTGGTTTCGGCCATAGTTAGTGGTGTGTCGAGGAACGTAGTAGGGGGCCGTTAGCCTGGAAGACCTACTTGGAACACGAAAGTTTACCTCAGCGAGAAGCTCGGGAGCATTTATGGTACCATTCGTAAGTTTATTTAGGAAGATAATGTTGGCAAAAACTCTTCTATCGGAAAGACTACTAAGTTGTAAGTGGTGTAAGACTGGGGAATAATCGTGAGGTTCATGACGGATATTAAGACAAAAGGATGCAAAATTAAGGAATTTACGTTGAACACGCTCAAGTAGGGAAGAGTCAGAGGTTGTATAAGGATCCCAAAGAATGGAACCATATTCTATTATCGGCCTTACAAGCACACAGTATAAATTTTTGAGAGAATAGGTTAGATTGAAATTAGAAGAGAAGCGTTTTATAAAACCTAATGTCTTTAAAGATTTACAGGTGACGTGCTCAATGTGGGAGTGGTAGTCTAAGTTGGAAGTTAGAAGGATACCCAAATCTTTCTTTACAGTAACTCGCGTTATGGAATGGTTGTTAAGAGAATAATCGAATAGAATAGTAGCTTGGCGTCTAGTAAAGGACATAATCTGACATTTGCTGATGTTGAGGTATAGTCCATGGTTCTCTAACCAGGTGGATAAACAATTGAATTCACTCTGAAGGCGTATGCAATCATCAATGGAGTTGACGCATGAAAATAATTTAACATCATCAGCAAAAGCCAAAAAACGGCAGTGCTTAAGAGCAGAATTCAAGCCGTTAATAAAAATAGCAAATAGAATTGGAGAAAGATGACCACCTTGAGGGACCCCTGAGGTAACGTTTATCAAACTTGAGCGACAATCTAAAATTTTTACCCATTGCTTTCTCATAGTTATGTATGATTTGAACCAAGATAGTAGCGGTTCGCCGAAGCCTGCTTTGTAAAGAACGTCAATGAGAATATAATGGTCTACTTGGTCAAAAGCTTTGGAGATGTCAGTGAAAATTACATCCACTTGAGAATGGTTTTCAAGAGCCTGTAAAGTGTAGTTGTTAAATACCATACTATTGAGAGTGGAGGATCTATTAGGCCGAAAGCCATATTGCTCGTCGATAAGAATAGAGTTAACTGGAGATTGAATACTACGGACAACTAGGTATTCAAAGAGCTTTGCAAGATGACTTAGAACAGATATAGGCCTGTAATTACGGATGTCATCACGATCTCCGGTTTTGTGGATAGGAGTGACAGAAGATAATTTCCAAATGTCAGGGAAGATACCGTCATCAAGTGAACGCCTAAAAATTATCCATAGGGGGACTGAAATTACAGATTTGATATTAGCTAAGAAAGAACCAGGAATACCATCCGGACCAGCACTTGTAGTGTTTGATAGGGTTTTTAATTTAGTTTCTATATCGGAAACTGAAAAGTGACAGTTACTAGGCAATTGGTGAAAAAGAAATGGGGTACTAGGTAAGGCAGAGCTACTAGATGGTTTGTAAACGGAAGCGAAGTGAATGGAGAACATGTTAGCTATTTGTTCCTTACCTGAGTATTGTTGAGCGTCTAGATGCATGACATTAGGTAGCCCAGAGCTTGAACGACTTTTGCGTACTAATTTCCAGAAAGATTTTGGGTTGCTATTAATTTGGGATTCAATATGAGTTAGGTAATTATTGTGACATTTTTTGGACAAGTATTTAAACTGTGCACGTAATTTAGAGAATGCAGAATAGTCCTGCTGGTTGTGTGTAGCTTTGAAAGTGGCATGTGCTCGTTTTTTAGTGAACACTAATGTTTTTAATTCCTTTGTGAACCAGGGAGGAAACTTTGAAGGAGTAAAACGAATTTCGGGAACGAAGTTGAGTATAGAGTAGTGTAAGGCATCATACAGGCAATAAGCTGCAGAATTTGCATCAAGGTTGAGTAAAGTTGAGGACCAATTGAAAGAATTTAGGAAAGAAATTATTTTTGGATAGTCAGACTTGCGAAAGTCAAAAAATGTATGGGAGTTATTTACAAAGGGTATTAATGTTTTAATGTTTATATAGTTTTAATGATTGATAAATAAAAGGATGTTTATTTCTTGAATTATTTACATTTACTATGAAGTTAATACGTTCTAAAATTTCATAATATCTCTCGTAATGTCAATATGTCATATTTGTCGAAGTTTTTTATATGTAGGCAACTAGGCAAGTGCCAAGTGCCAAGTAGTAAAACTCCTAAGGTCATATTATCAGCCTCTATTTCTATGAATATTTTATTTATATTATATTATTTTAGGAATTCATTTTTTCTATTATTAAAAGTAAGGATTAGTATTAAACATTTTTGACATAGGTAGCATAGGTATTAGGTGGTAGTGTGGTACCTATTATCAGTGAGATATTTATGAATTTTAGGATATGGGAAACACATATCGTTTTTGTTACTTAGATACACGTTTTATTACACATTTTTATTTGACAATTCACTTTTTCCCTAGGTAGGTATATACTATATTTTAAGAACAAATATAATAGTAATTCTGTTATACTTATGCATAACGTGTACGTCTTTAAGTGCTCTAAGCCTAAAAAAAAATGTTCAGCTTTATCTATTGAACTGTTCCTATTCTCGGCTGATGAATATATTTTTTTAAATATAAATAAAATATAAATATATACCTAACGTACTATACCTACCTAGTATCTATTATCTAATAAATAATAACCGCATTGATTTTTAAATTTGGTATTCATGTAGATCGCCAGTAAAATGTGTATCGGTCTATTTGATAATAATATTGACTTCTGTAATCAAATCACAGGCTCTAAAAAACATCAAGAACATGTCCTATAGACGCTATATAGTCTAAAGTATTATATTTATACGCTACACGTATTTATAAAAATAATATTATGTATGTATATATATTAAATATTAATGTACTATATATTATACTATATACAGGTACTGCAGCAACAGTGTTGCAGCGGCCTTTATGTGTAGGTAATACAGGATTACATTATTGTACGCAGGTATAATGAAAACTCAAAATGGTTCAAATGTAAAATTACTCGAATCACAAAATATTTTTATTTCATACGATGATCAATTTAATATTTAAAAAAACAACAAACCCATTAATAGTCTTCACTCAGAATTATTTTTTTAAATTATAATCATTTCTTAGAAGTGGACATCCTTCCTATAATAAGTAAAGCATGTTAGTTTTAAACGTGTAACATGATATTTCTTGTTAATAATTGCTAAATAATTAATAACATAAATATTATTATAATATTCTTTATAGTTTCGAATTGAAAATTTTATTTCTACATTTTGGTTATTAAGTTTTGTAGGTATGGCTATACCGTAATCTGATCAATATATTCCGACAGGATAATATGCTGTCGCCATGGTTACGGTCCTTCTCAAGCATGCTCTGTGGTCCATTATAGACTTGTAACTTTTAGTTTCGTCCTTTACACGGTTAGACAATACTTATTATAAGATGTAAATCACAATGTAATCGCAATGTTTTTTTAACGACCAGCGTGAAATTATGTTGAAATATAATTATAAGGGTTGTAACAAAAGACGACGATAAATAGTTTAAACAATAATAACAAATTTAACTTGACAATTTGGGCGTACCTACGCAACAAATTGTCGATCGATTATTTATCGAAATTTTTTGAAAAAATGTCCAAGATATTTAAAGTTCAATTTAGCATAATGAAACCAGTTTCCAGTGTTTTTCTGTTATTTTTGTTTTCTATATTTTATTGCAAAAGTGAAAATATAGAGAAAGAAAATACCGATAATAATCCATATGAATTTCACATCGGTGGAGTTTTAAGTAGCAATGCAAGTGAAGATTATTTCAAACTAACAATTGAAGTAATGTACAACTTTTATATTTTAATAATATGCTTTTAAATAATTTTAATACAGAGTACCGACTGCACTACAACTGCAGTGATTTTTCTACCGGGAATTTGTTAATACGTCTTTGACACTCTTTGTCAACATTTTAATAATGTGTATTATTATTTATTGTGCATGTATGGTATATATAGGTACATTAATAAACCTCATATTATACAGCAATAAATTATAATAATATGTTTTTTTAGATTTTGAGTGGAAGGATAATATCGATATATTACATTTTTTTTTACGTCTACTTTTTACAGTAGAAAAAATGCATATAGGTACATTTTCTACTTAATTTTATTTTCTGATAGGAAAATACATCTTGTTGGTTCTTTGGAGGAACATTACAAAATATTAAGTTTTTCATAAGTAGTTAATTCTGAAACCAAAAAAACAAAAAAATATATAGTACAAACTACAATTTTATAGACATTGAAGTTAAAATTTGGACGAAATTAGAAATTTAAAAGAACAATAAGGATTTTAATTATTTTGTTGTAATTCAAAAATGTTATTTGTGTGGACTTGAATCGTTTACGGATATTATTATAATTTTTTATATACACATTGACATTTTCAAAACATTTAGATTCATTTTAAGTTATTGCTTATTTATACCACCAACCTGTTTTCACATTAAGGTGGTTAACAAAAGTTAACAAAAATAATAAATTCTATAAAATATAATATATACTATTTTAATAATTAAATATTAATAATATAAATAAAATGTAATGTTTTCAACAAAAATTATTACAACTTTTCTCGTAATACCGTATTACTAATAGTAAAATGAATTAATTTAATAGTAATATCAAAAAACATATCGTAAATAGTTAAGTTATTATACTTACTTAGTAATATATTATAATTTAATGGGTGACAGATCATATAATTTTATTGAAAAACCTATGACAAGAAAATAATGCTTGCCAAGTCCGGGATCGGCATGTAAGCTCTCTAGATTTTTTAATTTTTAGAAATTAATTAACAGAATCACACCCAAGCGGTAGGTACCTATAACAATTTGAATCCAGAAAAGTGTCAGTGGGAACAGCCCCACAAAAATTCATTTTCATTTTCATTTAATGAGATAGATTTCCGAAACTTTAGAGCGGATTTCGTTGTTTGGGGTCTTGTTAGATTCACATTGGTGAGGAGAAGTGTAGTGAAGATTTTCAGAACTTTATCTTGTAGTTAATTCACTACAGAACATAAAAAAAAAATGATTGGGCAGTTTTTGATGTTTTTCTGCTTTACAGCTTTGTAGTGAATTAACGATTGGAGATTATAAGTTCTGAAAATCTTCATTGCACTTCTCCTAGCTAATGTGAATCTAACAACACCCCAAACAACAAAATCAGTTTTAAAGTTTTAGAAATCTACCTCGCTAAATGAAAATCTAGCAAAAAATAACTGTTTTTTTTTATCTGTGAAAATTTAAATAATTTGAAAAAAAAATTTAATTCCACATTTAATATCTACTTGATAATCAATTTTTAATGAGTTATCAACCAACTTTCTTGCTATCATAGTTTAGGAGAAAAGTTAAAAAATAGAAATTTTGAGACTGTTCAAGCCGACGTTTTTATGGATTCAAGTGGTTATACTGCTTGGGTGTGATTTCAAATCTCTCTCATTAATATTTTATATTAAAGCTAGCCAAAGTACCCACCTATTCATCATTACTGAGTTACATTTTTATTATTTTCCTATTTAACACAAATTCTTGAAGTTTTCAAAATTCAGACTTTTTTCATTTCAATTAGGTACCATACTTACTTGGTTAAAAATAAAGAAGTAATATTGTGATGAGCTACTGTTAATAGAATTGTTGATGTCAATCTTTAATAATATATTTCAATGACATTAAACTATTATAATTAATATATTAATTTGTGTTAAATACTTACATTACCATTTAAATAAAGCATATATTTTATGAAGGTATTTATGCAAATTTTGGACAAGAATTAAAAAATTTTTATGATAATTATTAATAAGTATACCTAAATATAATAATTCATAATTATAATTTATAGTTACGATGCCCTATACCTATAGGTACTCATTGTTTTTTATAGGTAAATTATACATAAAAGCAAATATTTCTTAAAACCAAAATTTAAAGCTACTTATTTGACCTTATGTGCAGCTTAAGTTAAGCACATTTTAGTATATTATTGTATCTATATAATATATTTAAAATATATTTGGGATAAGTACTTAATATATTATTATATTTAAGAGGGTGTACGGTCTATTGTTCTGTCCATCTTACAAAGAAACAACATGACAAAAATTGTAGGTTCACAATAACACATTTTACTCTGTAATTTCTAAAATTAGAGTGAATTAAAATTAAATTAAAATTTTCTTATAAAATTTAAAGGTAAGATTACTTTTATTATTATCTAGTACATCAAGGAGGCTTTTATTGATATTTTTATTAAGAAGCCAGTTATGATTTTTCTAAACTTTAAATTATTTGTACGTTTTAGAAATTACAGAGAGTTAAGTGTGTTATTGTGAAGGAGACACCAATTCCCGTGCGGCATCCTCTTAAAAGATATTTTTTTTTTATAACAAACATACAATCTATAGTTATTAGCATAATAATTATATGTGAAAAATTACTGAAAACATTATAGTATGCGTGATTAAGAAGTCACCCACCATACAAGTCCTTAAATTCTTAAGCAAAACAAATCTTTATAGTAAAATTTGAGTGTAACTTTTAATAAAAATGTAATTGTAAACAATTGTAACTAATGGCCCTTGTCGCCGATGTTAATTAAGAACAAAAAAAAAAAAAAGAAGTCACCCACTAGTGAATCTCTGCTTGAGGGGTGGCTGTGCAAAGATAATGTTAAAGGATTTTAGGAGAGAGACGAGTTTGAGTACGGTCAGTCAGCCTATGATATTACTAAGTTTATTTGATGATATTATTGTGAATGAAGTAGTTTATATATTTACCTATTTACGTGGACCCTTGTTTTAAATTTTCAATCCTTAGCCATAAAAGTTGAACATTTTATAAATTTTTAACTACAAAATAATTATTAAATTTTAAATATGATAAATGTTGTCAAAATTCGAACTTTAAATGCTTATAAAAAAAAAATGTGCCTATGTATTTTAATATTTTTCAACTGCTATTGTTACAATATATCAGGAGCCTTGCATTAAATTTTCAGGCTTTTTAACCCATCAAATAAAGTTTTATTGACATTCATAGAAAAAGACTAATAAAATTGGAAACTGGAAATGTTCCTAAACAGTTCAAAACATATCATGTATACAAAATGTAAATATAAACTGCCAGTAAAAATTTCATTTTCAGAAAACCAAAAACCAAAATCGATTTTGCCTAAAAATTCCCGTTTTTACTTAATTTTTATGTTGTTTTTCCCGTTGCTTTTGAAAAATATTGGGAATATTAAAATTTGACTTCACTTTCCCATCGAACAAGATACTGTTGAAGAAAATCGAAGCAGTTTTACTGCCCTAAACTGGCTAAACTATGATGACACACACACACACAAATTTAAATTTTAAAATTTAAAAAAAAAACACACATCATTGTAAAATCAATACATTCATCGTTCCACTCAGAATCTATAATGTAAACATATAGGTACTGAGGTCTGATGCTATTGCATTTTAATTCAAGTAAATTTAATTAAAAATTCATGCGGAATTAGTCCCTCGATATTTTGTAGGTAGATTCAATTTTTAAGTACCCATTGTGCTATATTTATACCCTGTGGACTGTGCCCTGTATATAAATATATAATAATAATAATACATATAATTTATACCTACCTAGTACATATATAATATGTTTGTGATAATTTTTTGAAGGCTTAAAGAAAAATAATAAATTATAATATATTATACATTAATGTCATATCGATATCTATGTTTGTTGTTTTTATAGCATCTAAACTTCAATACACCATTTATGAAACCTGGAAACACATTCTACGCTCATTCAATAAAAATGGATCCAAATCCAATTAAAACCGCTCTCAACGTTTGTAAGCAACTCATCGTGCGAAGGGTGTATGCCGTTATTGTGTCTCATCCACAAATCGGAGATCTGTCTCCGGCCGCTGTATCATACACCAGTGGTTTCTATCATATACCCGTGATCGGAATTTCGTCCAGAGATTCTGCTTTTTCAGATAAAGTAACCACAACAATAATTATTATCATCCATTAAATATTCATACTATATTGTTTTCGTTAATTGTTGTTGATGTCTGTTATGCATTGTTCTTGTGTACCAATTATAAATTATAATTTATAAACTATTGTTACAGAACATTCACGTGTCATTCCTTCGTACAGTTCCACCCTATTCACACCAAGCCGAAGTATGGGTTGAATTACTAAAATATTTCAATTATTTAAAGGTAGGTAAAACATAATATTATATGCTCTGTCAAACGTCATTAAACGCAGTTCGAATTTACGTCTTACTATATTAGGTACATACTGCATACGCTGCATGTGTAAATTGTAATAATTCTAAAATCATGTGTGCTGCAGGTCATATTTATCCACAGCTCCGATACCGACGGTAGAGCGTTTGTCGGTAGATTCCAAACTACTTCACAAAATCAAGGAGACGACATCGAAAAGAAAGTGCAGGTCATTACCATAATATATTATAATAGTAAACTTATTGAAAATATGTACAAGTACTGATAATATCTAGACACGCGGTAGCGTGTCAAGCCAAGTTCTAGCTAACAGAACTGGCGAGCAGCACCGTGTGTAATATTACACGAACCATTTGGAGCCAATTTTGACCCCCTCATAACTTAAAAACTATTCCACATAAACATGTCAAATTTGGCTCATATATTGAGACTAACGAGATACATATGTGCTCTAAATTTCATAAACACACTTCAAACCGTTATTTAGATATTAACGTCCGAAAATCGTCACTTTTATCACTGACTTACCTATAGATCAAAATTCTAACCCAGTTCCAGATGACCTAGAAAGTTCAAATTTGGCATACAGATAGGTAGTTAGGTAAATACAAAGGAAAAAATCAGAAACTTGAAAATTTTTAATTTAAAATTTTTTAATTTTTAATTTTTAATTTTTTAATTTTTTAATCAATTGATTTTATTATAATTTTGCAATTATTTTATCTATTATGTTTAATTTTACAATTTATTAATGAATTGCCTCTAATTTAATGTACTGTAATGTAATATTGACTTAAATAACCTTTCCCGTATCGCCGCTCCAAAAATACGACTAGCCGAATATGTGTCGATATTGTCGACCCGCGCGCAGCAACATACTTTTTTTTCTATCTATGTATGTAATTAATTTTATTTTTTTTAAATATTACAATTAAAATAATTAAATAATTATTCTTACAAATTATGAATTATCCACCCAACAGTAGAAACTACAGTCAATAAAATTATGATAATTAAAAATATACTCAAAAAGAGTTAAAATAATTGTATATTCATTTTACATATATTTTATACTCTGTATATACAACGGAAAATATTTTATAATAAATATTATTATTAATATTAGTAACTGAATTATATTATATAGTAATAAACTTTATTTATATAATACGTCATGGCTAGGTTAGGTTAGTTATAATAATTTACATACAAAAAGTAATGATATCCCACCAAAAACATTTATGTAAAATGAGAGCCAAGTTCAATACTATAATATATGTCTTGGTTGTTGACTTCAACGACAAAAGAAGTGAGATCTAAATGGGTGCCAAGTTAGGATAATATATTGAAGCCTAAGGTCTGACTTGGCTACGAATTATATATTATAGCATTTGCAAGTTCTAAAGCTTTGAGTTCTTATTTTATTCTTCGGAAAATCATCTTCACTCTTCCAGTACTGTTTTAGTAGGTACTTATAATAATAATTCGTATATGAAAAGTAGCCAAGTCACACCTTAGGCTTCAATATATTATCCTAACTTGGCACCCATTTAGATCTCACTTCTTTTGTCGTTGAAGTCAACAACCAAGACATATATTATAGTATTGAACTTGGCTCTCATTTTACATAAATGTTTTTGGTGGGATATTAATATCTAATTCAGTTATACAACGGCATCCTTTTAATAATAGCGTGTAACTTCGATATTTTGGTGTTAAAAAAACACTGTTGGCTGCATTATATTATGATATTATATATGCCATTGCAACTTCCAAATCATGGTTATAAGTGAAATGGTCTATATAACCCCCTCCACTCCCCCCTCCAGTGATAAACGCAACTACTGCAGCAAGCAAATAATATATAATATATATAGATCATATAGACTCTATACATATATGATATATATTATAGAGCTATATAAATGTATAATTTAGGTAACAATATTGTATGCTGTGACCTGTGGGTTTCTAAGTGTTTTCTTTTCATATACCGCTGCAGGTGGAGGCGGTTATCGAGTTTGAACCGGGCCTGTCCTTTTTCGACAACCAGTTAAACGAAATGAAGAACGCACAAGCCAGGGTGTACTTAATGTACGCGAGCAAAATAGATGCTGCAGTAGTTTTCAGGGACGCGGCTAAAAGAAACATGACTGAGGCTGGATATGTGTGGATTGTGACGGAGCAAGCTCTAGACGCCAGTAATGTACCGGAAGGGACAATCGGATTGAAATTGGTTAACGCCTCTAACGAATTAGCTCATATATACGATAGCATGTATGCATGTACATTTTTTCTAGTAGTTAGTAGTGGTTTTTTAACATATATAATGTATCATAATTCCTATTTGGTTTATTGCAGATATATATTGGCTTCAGCGATTACAGATATGAACCGTACAAAAACTATAACCCCGCCACCGGCTGATTGTGATAACTCTGGTGCTATTTGGGATACGGGCAAGACACTTTTCGAGTAATTTGTTCAACCTATAACGCACAGTTTATATGGCATGATATATAATTATTAATATTTCTTTAGATATATAAAGAAACAAGTGTATAAAGATGGACACACTGGTAAAGTAGCTTTCGATAATAACGGTGATCGAATATATGCTGAATATGATATAGTCAATGTCAAAGAAGTGGCTAATAAAGATGCTATTGGGAAATATTATTTTAATAATGTAAACATTTAAGAATAATAATTGACTTAATGAAAAAAAAATATTGATAATTCTAAAAATCACAATTGATTTTAGGATCTCAATAAGATGAAATTACGACTTAATGAATCTAACATTATATGGCCAGGACGTTTGAAGAAGAAACCAGAAGGTTTTATGATTCCAACACACTTAAAAGTATTAACAATAGAAGAAAAACCATTTGTGTATGTAAGACCATTAAAGAAGGATGATGGAAATAGTTGTAATTCGGATGAAATAATGTGTCCGTTGTATAATACTTCATCTAAAGGTAATCAATTTTATTTTACTTTAAAACAACTAAATAAAAACCTGGATAAAAATGTTTGTTTATTTTAGTACTAGATCCAATAGTCTACTGTTGTAAAGGATATTGTATTGATTTACTAGTGGAGCTTTCTGAAACGATAAATTTTACATACAGTTTATCACTATCGCCAGATGGTCAATTTGGAAATTATGAAATAAGAAACAACTCAGGTTAATACCTACTTCTATAAAATATAAAAACGTGCAAGGTTATATTATAAATTATAACTGATAAATATCTTTAGCTAGTGGAAAAAAAGAGTGGAATGGTTTGATTGGTGAAATAGTGTATGAAAGAGCAGATATGATATTAGCTCCTCTTACCATTAATCCAGAAAGAGCAGAATTCATAGAGTTTAGTAAACCATTCAAGTACCAAGGAATTACTATTTTGGAGAAAAAGGTAAATGATTTACCTCAGATATTTGATCAGATATTGGGTCTTTTTGATTAAAAAACTTTATATAGGTACTTTTTAAAAGAAAAATACTTAACCAATTAAAATGATCCTCAATATTAACACGTGACCCACCTACTACTTTCATAATACATGATTTTTCGTATTTTTTTAGCCATCTCGGTCATCGACACTTGTGTCGTTTTTGCAACCATTCAGCCACACGCTCTGGGTGCTTGTTATGGGTTCTGTACACGTGGTTGCGCTTGTCTTATATCTACTCGACAGGTTTTCTCCTTTTGCTAGATTCAAGTTGATTAACGCTGATGGCACAGAAGAGGATGCACTTAATTTATCAAGCGCTACATGGTTCGCTTGGGGAGTTTTGTTGAACAGTGGTATTGGCGAAGGCACACCAAGGAGTTTCTCAGCTAGAGTACTAGGAATGGTATGGGCCGGATTCGCCATGATCATCGTAGCATCGTACACTGCCAACTTGGCCGCTTTTCTCGTGCTCGAAAGACCGAAAACCAAACTATCTGGAATTAATGACGCTAGGGTAGGAAGAATGTATTTATAATAATTATAATCTAATCGAAATGGTTTTCAACTAAATATACTTATACATAGCTATCGATTTGTTCTATAACAGCTCCGTAGTACTATGGAGAATTTAACTTGTGCCACAGTAAAAGGATCCGCAGTTGATATGTATTTTAGACGACAAGTGGAACTGTCAAATATGTACAGGACAATGGAAGCCAACAACTACGAAACTGCTGAAGATGCAATTCGAGATGTGAAAAACGAGTACGATCAGAATATATAAATACAAACTGACAATGTTTATTGACATTTAAAATAATTTTCAGCAAGCTTATGGCATTTATATGGGACAGTAGCCGTTTGGAATTCGAAGCTGCGCAAGATTGTCAATTAGTGACGGCTGGCGAATTATTTGGACGTTCTGGGTATGGAGTTGGTCTACAAAAAGGTTCTCCTTGGTCTGAATCAGTTACATTATCAATTTTAGACTTCCATGAGAGTATGTTTATAATATGCGTGTTGTATAATACAGGTACAAGTAAGATGAAATCTAAACATTTATAATTTTTAACTAGGTGGTTTTATGGAAAGCTTGGACGATAAGTGGATATTTCAAGGGAGAGTAGAACAATGCGAAGATCAAGAAAAAACACCCAACACGTTGGGATTGAAAAATATGGCTGGTGTATTTATACTCGTCGCTGTGGGCATAGTGGTTGGAATGGTTTTAATCGTCATCGAGATAGGCTACAAGAAACATCATGTGCGTAAACAGAATCGATTGCAGTTGGCCCGTAATTATGGACAAACGTGGAGGGCTATAGTTCAAGTTAGTGTGAAGTTACTGGACGGTTAAATTTAGTAACATTAAATTATATAATATATGAGTATGCGCGGGTAAACTTAATTTCCAATGTTCTACAGAAACGAAAAATGATGAGAATGCAAGGTCGAACTAGTGGTGTTGGAGCACTCAGTCTGTCGGTTGAAGCATTGCCGAGAAGCGTTTTAAACATACAAAGTCCGATTCGATCAATCGAAACATTACCAAGAACTTGTCGCAATTCACCAAGCCCGACTCGAGCTTGGTCAGGTCGACAAATGGTGCATAGAAAGAGTGATGATATTCCACTACGGTCACCTATTGGGGGTCCTCCGCAGTTACACTTCCATAATAATCTCATGTAATCGGGGCGTTATAAGAATAATTTATATAGTTAATCATAATTTATAATATGATAAAGTAATTAAATCTATTTATCAGTATATATATATATATACATATTAGATAGCATTTAATGTATAAATTACATAAGAATAATATTAGTGTTTTGTACCTATTAGGGAATCCGGAATAGGGACAATATAGATTATAGACGATCATAATACATAATGTATTATACATGTATACCTATAATAGTTTCTAATTTTTCATCATAATATGAAACGTAATTTATGCTAACTATTATATTATATCTAATTTGTTGCTAAATAGTATTTTGTTTATCTAAATTTTATTATACCTGTTGAAAGAATCATTATTATTGTTATTAAATGTATATATTATATTTATAAACATTCTTGTATACACACAGATATATTATACATATAATATATATATTATTACCTATTTATTATTAATTTATTATTATATTTAATTAATTAAATTACCTACATGTCTACATCATAAATATTTTATTTAAATACGATTTGTTAATAATGTAAATGATTATTATAGGTATATATTAATAAGTAAATAAATGAAATGACAGTTTGCTCTTTACAATTCTACTTATCATTTTTAAATAGCTGCCTACCTACTACGGAATTGGGACATTATTCACATCTACAAAATAATTTCCAAATTTTTATTATTTTTATAAATTATGTCAAAATTCAAACTTTAAACGCTTATAATCGTATTTATTGTGACAGTTTATCATCGGTAATTATATTAAATGGTATATGAAATTATGAAAAACATATTATTATGAGGAATCACAAGGAACTACAAGGCTTTGCGAGCATACCTAACATTTTTTATGAATTTAGGTTTTGATATTCGGTTAAAAATAAGACATATTGAAGACATTTTGGGGGTGGGGGTCCAGACCCTTTGGACTCTCCACGGTTACGGTCATGCGCCCTTGCTTACTTCTATTATATAGTTGCAACCATAGACGTATAATAGAATTATTCTATTATACGTCTATGGTTGCAACTGCGGTTATATAATCCGGTAAGTAACCGTGGTCGCAACCAGTGAAAGATCCAGGGCTTAATTTTTTGGCAAAAGTACAAAAATTGGTAACTAAATTGACTAAACATAGTGTAAAACAAAGGAAAAATACGGCGATTGGGGGACCCTTTTGCCCCCCACCGGATATACAGCTGGTCGCCACAAAAATTAATGCAACTTATCAAGCAAATATCGATGTAATAATAAACTGTACAGCTGTTGCACACTTGCACTAGCACTACAGCGTTTAATTATACTCTAAAGGTATTTCGTACAAAAAGTGTACATATAGTACTAGTCTTTAAAAATAGGATATTATGTCACTTCACGCCGACGCGACCACCACCTACTAGTTTCGGCCTCGGTTGCTGCAATGCCCAGAAAAGTTAATATATATAAGTATGTATACTTTAAGTAGGTACCTACTACCTACCCCGTGTGACTATGTACCTCAATGGCGAACGCTGGTTCGTTTAATGGAGGATGGTTGGTTAGAATAACTAAAAGGTATGACTATATTGACCAACATTATATTTTAACTAATAAGTATCGTTACTCACTTACTCATCACTCGCTATCAGTCAAAGTGGATTTAAACTTTGTAGTTTCACAATTTCACATAGAATATAGATTACCTACCTACAGCTAATTATAGTTCAATCGTTATAGATATACCGGAATAGATTAAATGGTTAAACATTCATTAGTCATTACTCATTAGTCATTAGTAATCATTAATTACTATTAGCATTGGTTATGAACTTATGAACACTATGTAAATAGTAAATACCACGATTATAAAGAACTTCTTTATAATCGTGGTAAATACCTACCTACTTAACAGTTAACAGTCATTTATACAAAATGTTATTTATTCATACACCAATACACCATACAAAATTACAAAAGATTAGTTTTGTAATTTGTGTCATTTGTGAATTGTGATAATTATGTTGATAACTGACGAGTGATAATGTTGTGTTGTTCAAATAAAAAGTAAATAAAAAATTATAAAACAGAATCACAATAATCCTGGTCGCTATCAGTTATTAGGAAATAGTAATAAGCCGTCGGTATTCGTTGTCCCTTCATTGTACTCTGCTTCAAAAAAAGTCAAAATGGCTCTAAAACGGAATGTACCGCCGCCGGTGAAGAGTATTTTGGACATTGACTCAAAACTTACTTCAGTTATTTGTAACTCAGTTTCTAGGTTTTTGCCTGTTCGCAGTTTTACCACATATTACAAAGGATTAGAGGTAAAGTACCTACATAATTAAAAAAATATATTTAAATTTAATCAAAATGTTTAATATTAACATTGTTAAATTTAAGTATTCGTGTCATGGAATTGTATGGATTGCCTGTTGGTTGACTTTCATTTGGTTTGCTTGGTCAAAATCTTTGTTTCAAATGCAAGTTAACCTTCTTATTGGTAAGTTAATTTAAAATTATAAGCTAGGTTTTAATTCTTAAATAGTTATATGGGTATTCTTGTTATATGCGCTCAACATTTAAAAATAATATGCCTCATTTATCAATTAAAACGCTTTATGCCTACGTCAACAACAATTTTTTATGAGATTAGGACAGTTAAAATTGAAATTCATTTATATACAAGTGTTTGCATCAATTATGTATATCTAAGTATTTTTTAACGGCAATATCATATTTTCCTAAGGAAATAAAACTTATCACTAATTTCTGACCATGTTCACCATTCACCTTGTATGTCCTGTGGTTCTGAAACTAAAATAATGAACAAAAAAAAAAAAAAATACAGACAGAGGTTGGTTGTTAAAAAAACTTACTGAAAGTTGGTATCGTGTATATAACGAGAATACTTTTAATATATTCTTGTTGTAAAATCATATTTTAGGCATACAATTATTTTTAAAATTGTTTGTTTCGATTACAACTTTTATAATCCTATTAATCTTTTAAAAGAAATTACCCATACGGCACTCTAGAAGCATCTGTTTAAAAACTTAAATAAGTTAAATAACATATAAATTTTTAAACATTTTACAGGACAATTTAAGAATTCTTAATTTAATATTTTTTATTAATGGTTTGTATGAAGTTATATTAAATTTTCTTCAAATACAATCATTACACATATTTTTATCTATTTTATCCATTTCATATTAATGAATATATTTTCTGTTTTTTGAGTTATCAGTTCTTGTAATAAATAAATTGTTAATATTGATATTGGTAACAAAGGTTGAAAAGAAACACATTATTCGGACAGACACAACTAGATATTAGGTGTACCTATGTTCAAAATATTAAATTTAATTTTTCACTTAGGAATTATTTTAAACACTGATTTCCACATATTTTTTAATATAGACAAAATTTCCTGTATTTTTAAATATTATATACAAACTTATTAGGTAAATTCAAGTCTTTAAATAATGTATGTATAACTATGATCTATTACATGAATTTAATACATAAGTTACAATCAGTGGCGTGGCGAAGTGAAATATTTTGTTGGGCAATTAAATTATTGAATGACCTACCATACCATGACTATTTAATAAAATACTTATTATTGAAGTTATTGTTCTTATTAAATATCATATTCAGATGAAGTTAGTCTTGTACTCAATGTTTTACTAAATCTAATACTCACCTACCCCTTTAAAATTATTAGGTAACTGCCATTCAAAATCACGATCAACGCGCCACTAGTTACGATGGAAAAATTAAAAATGATAATTTTTTTTTTTATATATTTAGGATTATTTATTGATATTTTTGCGGTTGCTACTATAAAAGCATTTGTTCGTCGCCGTCGACCTGTAGGCAACAAGAATGATCAATGGGTTACAATTGGCCCTGATGTCTACTCTTTTCCGTCAGGACATGTGTCAAGAGCATTTTACATATTATTTTATTTTTACAAATTGTATCCGTTAAATGAATTTATGGTATTGTTTTTATGTGTTTGGGCAGTAGCTGTGGCTTTTAGTCGAATACTTTTAAGACGTCATCATTTATTAGATGTAATTGCTGGCGGTGTATTAGGGTATTTTATAACATTTGTAGTATCTGTAATTTGGATCGACCAAAGTACAGCCGAGTATTTGGTATCGTATGTGTCAGATGATAAATTGGAGGGTGGAGAATATCATGTGTAAATTTTAACTAAACATTTATATTATCATAAAAAAAATATATTTAAAAAATATTAAAAATAATATAATTATAATGTGTAAAATCAAGAAATATATTATTGTACATTTTTAATAGATTGGAAGGCTGTTTGAATATTTATAAAAATAAGTATTTAAAATGTAATAATAAATTATAATATGTATGTGATTGTTTCAGTATTTCTGAATTAATATGTTTGTATTGTGTATATTCACGAAGGATTCTATCTGTAAAAAAATATACTTGTTAAAATTACATTTATAAAATAAAAGTAAAAATTCATCGCATAAAATCAATTTTTAAAAAAAATTCTGTCTAAAATACAAAATTGTTTTACTAGTTATTCTGTTATGTAAGTAATCTTTTGATGGTTTACATAAATTGATTTAACCAGATGTATTCTTAGTTCTTACACTATAAACAAATTAAAATTATAACAGCAGAATGAAACATTAAAATACAAATATATAATAAGCCGATTGAAACATAACTGTTCACAAAACGAAAGCTACAATCATATAATATTGTAAAATATGTGTATGAATGTAAGTAATAATTAATTGCATATACTTAATTAATTATAAGCAAACCATTAATAAATCAATACATTGATATGATGGGAAATAGTGTTGAGAATATCATGGTTTAAATATGCAGAAAAATTTTGAATTTTTTTACTTTGAACTGCATTCCCATGCTTACATTCCTATGTGTTTGCATCTCTTGACTTTGTTTATATTTTTAATTAAACAAGCTAAGCACAAATCATTATTTACTCATTAATTTATTAATATGAATCATTTCTGATAATTCAATAATGTATTTTCTTCAATTATTCATACTATGTAATCAATTACTCATTTTTATTTACTTTGTTGTAGATGCCAAAGAGTAGTCATGTTATTATGAACAATTTTAATTGAAGAATAAATTCCAACAATGTAAATAATATTTTAAATGGAATACAAACTGGAGGAGAAACTATTTCCATGATACATTTCACTGACGTGTGTACTGGGAATAGTCTGAGAAAAACAATCATTAGAGTGAGAAGAAGGAAGATAGTAGGACATGCACTACAAAATGTCCAGAACTACATAGTATAATAGTAGAGGGTATGATTGAAAGGAAAATACCACCGGAAGTGTCAGGGAAAACCTTGCAACACAATTATTTAAGATATACGAGGGACTGGAAGCTATGGTGAGCGATTATGAAAAACGGAAAAGGGGAGCTGTAAACAAACCTGAATTGGAAAAAAAAATACGAATAACTTAGTAGTGGAAGATTTATAAGGGTTTAATTAACCATTTACCAGGTTTTTTCTTTGCTTATTCTGTTTTGCATTCTCCTAATTTTCAATAATTATTCAGTAATTAAAACATTTCATTTAATAGGTATCTTTTTTATATTCCCAACATGTAATTATCTTTGAATGCCAAAATATTACACAGACACACATATTAAGTTTACAAATTATTTTATTAATAATAAATCTGACTATACACTTGTTCAATAACAGTTAGCAACATAAATAAACTCGAAAATAGCATTTAAAACCACGATTATAATTTATAACTAATAATGGTAATATCTTAACAAAGTATCAATTATTAACAACGAACCACAGTGTAAATAGTGTATATATATATAAAGATTTTGTATTTATAATTTTAAAATATTAATGAATACCTATGTGTGTAGTTAAAATAACATATATGTTACCTTTATAGATATATTGTGTTTAGTTCTCAATATAATACTTTTAAGAACCTATGCACAGAATTCATCTTTATATTATTCAAAGCAGTTTATGAATACACGTATAATATTATGTTATATAATTTTAAAGCTATATCAGCCGACAGCCGTCTACCAGAACTATATAGTTTCTGTTTAATAGGATATAGTTAATTAATTTTAACGACAATTTATTTTACATTGATGTTTAATTTTAAAACAATTTCAGATACGTGGTTGCATTTTTTTTATTTATGTTTATTTCCAGTTATATTTTATAAAAATTTTAATTTTTAAAAACTAAAAATTTAATACAACTTTTACTTCATGAGCTATTTTTAATATAGGATATAATGATTTGCATGAATACGAATCTTAAGTGTATATTGTTAGAATATGTCATGTAAACACTGAAGAGTAACACAGAAGCTTGTTTGTAATCATTTTATTGAAATAAATAATCTATTAATACTTTAAAAAAAGTATTAATTTATGATTCTAGTTACAAAAGCAATTATAGTAACCTGTGCGCATCTCTACCAGTAAAATAATTAATTAAAATTTTTTTTGATACCGTGTTCCTAGTTAAATTTGTATTTTTTACTAACAATTATATTTTAACTTCCAATAGTTTACATAAATGAACCCCAAAACCCAAATAGGAAACCAATGTTAAAACCAACCACCTCCAAAAACTGATCAAGTTTGTAGACATGATACACTTTTTGAATGAATAATTGAATTATATTAAATATTATAAAATAATAAATATCCAATTAAGTTCTTGTGAATTAAATCGCAAGATAATAATAATTAAAATTTCTTTACCAACATATTCTAGGATTTAAGTAAAAATACATCATACAATAAAATACAGTTTTTAATAGAAAAAAATATACTATATTAGGTAAATGGAAAGTATAAATTTTAACGTATTAAATAATAAATGAGAAATTAATAAGGTCAAGGTCTTACAAATAATTTAGTAACTATTTATTAGAACATCAATACAAACAAATTGGTTGATATTATGATGATTGTTGCAAAAAAAAAAAGAACATTGTCTAGGAACATTATTATAGAAAATACAATACATTCTATAATTGTATTATTACGTTGCATAGAGGAAATCTTATAACAATATTAATAGTATCAGAATTATGATTAATAGTTCATTTTTTAAATAATTTCTGCCAGTTTTAATTCATTAATCAACACATAAAAGCATTACCATTATTATTCTATAGAAAATACATTTTCAGCCTTTAAAAGTAAAATAAATTTTCAATACAATGGTCTTACATCGAGTAATGACATAAAAGACCATCAACATAAAAGTTTACAAATCTTCAATTATTTTTTCACAACAAAAAATTCACTCAACAGTTTTTAAATGTTAATATTACATATAGTATGCATGTTACAAGTTAAAAAATAAAAATGGTTAAAAAAAATTATAAAAATATAAATTAATTACTAATTAGCCTTGTTGATTAACAACAAATTAAAAGTTTGAAGAATAATGTAAAAATATTTGTGTTATTATTAGTTGTATACCAAATATTATTTTATAAAAGTGGTCTAGACCCAACATTATGCATTTAAAATTAGTATTTTATAGTGAATGACCATTAGTGCAAATTTTATGAGTCAAATTTTTTTTTATAAATTATTTTAATTGTTCTGTTTTTAATTCTACTTTATAATTGCAGTCATATTTAGGATTAGTATAAATTAACAAAAGTTAATAAAATACAGCAATAAATATGTAACAAATAATAAGCTACCACCTGTTAGAAAAGGCGAGGTTTATTAACAGATTACCATAATTGAGTGTGAAAATTCTTGATATCTAGTTTTGGATGAGCTTGGTTTGATTTCTGACCATCCCCTTCATCCATACCATGATGATGTTGTTGTACTTCAACGTGATGTTGCACTTCAACATGACGTTCCTCTTGATGCTGTTTATTTTCTCGTTGTTGATGTTCAACTCTAGATATGATCAAAACAATATTAATTTATACAATATTTATTAGTTATAAGTAGTAAGGTTATTATTTAATTATTTATCTTTTTTTTTACCTATCTACATGTCCGTTTCCATTTTGAATTTCTGCTGGTTTAGCTCCATATAGTATCTAAAATGTATTACAATAATTAACAAATGAATTAGAAGTTGAAAAAATTAGGAATAAATATGAATACATTTGCCATGCAATCTTGTTGTCTAGCTGCACCATGACGTCCAAATGTTGGTTGACTTTTATATCCAGTTGAGCTATATAAAAAAATATTGATATACACACAATACATACATTTGTAATAACTAATAACTGAAACACTGTAAACTTACCGATTGTCAGCAGATTCTTTTGCAGATGGGTCTAGATAGATAAATAAATAGAAATAGAAATAAATAAACTTGTGCAATTGTAAAAATATAAACGGTCCATTACCTTCAAAAAAGTCTTCAAAAATTACGAAATTGTTGCCTTGATTAACTAATTTGGACAAGTTAAAATATTTCCATAAGAATTGTAAAAGTTTATTTGTAGGTTGATCAACAGCCAATTGTCTTGCTTCAATTTGATTATCCTAAAAAACATTAAAATAAAATTGGATTGTCTAAAGTTTTTTTTTTGATGTTTTAATACTTTTAACATGTAATCCATAAGTTTTATTCCATATCCATGACGTTGTCGGGTTTCATGAATGTAAAAATCAAGTAAACAGTAGACCATTGCTTCAGTTCTTGAACCTTTTTTATTAAACAAATACAACTTTTTCCATCCCATTTTTAACAAACCAACCACAACAAAATTTCTGAAATACAATTAGGTAATTGATATTATATATTTTTTAATCCTAATGTTATTAATTAATTACCCTGGTGATGTTTGTTCTGTCATCAAGTATAAAATATGATCTGAACGCATGAGTTTTTCAGCTGAAGTAATTGGAGATTTTAACTCTTGAGCAATTCCTGAAGCTACTCCCATTTTATCCAAAACATTAGATATCATGCTTTGCAATCTATAAAAATGAATTACATTTATTTAATATATTATTAAACTCAACTTCACTTCTTAGAGTATTTATAAATAATAAATAGCTAATCACCATATTCCGTAAATGCAATCAAAATTGGAATAACCCTTAAATTTAATAATGATTAGTAATAAATTATTTCTATTGTTACTATTATTATTAGGTATCTTATTATATAAGTAAATAACGGGGTACATAATGATTAATGAGCATTTAGCATGACAAGATAAATTATACATATTTATATTGACATGACAAATAGGTAGGTAGTTTTTTACTTGCAGTTCTATGCATTAATTATTAGTTATCATAATTAATTGAATATTAATAGTTTAAAAAAACAGCATTTAGATGCACATTGAATACTGATTAGATGATTTCATATACATAAATATATAATGTTCATTGTTTAATTAACTTTATAGTTTATTAAATATGAAATAGGCATAACATATTATATTTAATAACTAACGATATTTCATAAAAACCAATAATTAAGATAATGTAGGTACCTTGGGAAAAAATATAAATAAACATATGTTTAGAAAGTTTCATAAGCGGTTGACTATATATAGCAAAACAACATTGAATATCCAATATATTATTTAAAATTAGTACAAGCAATGGCGGGCATTAAAGAAAATCCTGACTAGTGAAACAGTTTTTACCATACAACAATTATCATGGCTGTTAAAATACCTACTTTATAGGATGTGGGTACCTACCTATAGTTAGAACTGAATATAATGATTTTTAACACACACACTCACACATCAGATGTATTTAGATCAACCAAAACACGTTAGGCAGTAAATAAAATATGATAGTCATAGGTTTACGTCAAATTATAATCATGCAATAAATCAAGCACCCAGTTGCATGCTTTGGTGGGCACAGCGATTGTTCGGTTTAGGAGTGTCATTAGAATAATAAATTGTCGGGTTGCACGAAGAATATAATAATATTAGAGACCAGTAAAACCGGACAATTGCGGTAGACTCGGCTACGATATCTCGGGGAATATCGCTACAGTACGGTGCAGGGACTTAGGATAATGGTACTATGTTACGTTAAAATACAACGCGTGACACGCGGAGTAGACATGGTTATTGTCGGTTGTGTACTAGTTACAAAGTACACAAAAATACTTACTCTGGGTCGTCTTTTTGGTAGCCAACTGGCAACAATGAGTTGTCGATTTTGATGATCTGATCGTGGGCGATGTGGCTCAGATCGAATTGGAATTCCATGGCGTTGAGTTTTTTTTAGCTTTTTGATGAACTGAAATAAGCGGACCGACGGGCGTCGCTTTCGATGTTATTTCGAGTGAATACAAAAGAGAAAAATCGAAATAACCCGTGGATTATAATATAATAAGAACAAATTTCCGTTGAGACGCAAACGTTTAATGACGGACGGAAATGAAATGAGTTACCAGCGTCCAGCGAGAGGTGAACAAACAGAGAGGAAGTGGAACCGTTACCTGTGGATTTCACGGACGACAGAGAAAAATTACAGGTCTACAATATAACATACCTTCAGAGTATTGTATTGACTATTGAGTGTTCCGCTTACGGTTAACCGTTGTACATGCTTACGTGATAAAGAATAATTTAAACACGATAAACGGCAGCCCATGACGGTATCGCCAATAATAGGTTTTCGTTGGCAACACTGTAAGCTGTTTTAACCGCCGTTGCTTAAACAAATAAATCAGTATTATTATTTTTTTAATAAAAATTTACCTTGCGGAATGTCGAATGACGGAATGTTGTACGCTGAATCTCTCTATCATCTAAAAAGTATTAACATATTTATTATGTAAATATAATCCTCGTGAACACTAAAGAAAAGTTCGAGTGAGTACCGCACTGCTGTACAGTTGCAGGTGTATACATATTATAATAGTCATCAAGTGAGTCATTGTAATGTAGGCCAAAGCTGAATTGAAAATATATTAAACCGTTTTCTGTTTACGTATATATTATTACTGAAGTCCACAAAATCTAAAACCTCTGAATAGTTATTTCGATGGACATAATATTCTTTTAGTAATTTGTAAGATGGTCGGCGACCGACAGTTTCAATGTTTCAAATTTTGTAATGTTATCGCTCGATGGACGGAAGGGGCCGTGGAGAACAAGCCTCGTAGAATAAGTTGCATATTATCATAGAACAATGGTATTGTCACAGATTTAATCAGTGGTATTGCATAGGTGCTATTGGGTTCACATTTTCACAACAATATAATATGCCGTGTAGCAACGGTATATCGTTAGCAACTGTACACCGTCATAATTGTTACGTATAATAATTATTGTAGAAGCTAATTACAATTTAAAGTCTCAACAAAATAATATTTACTGGCGAGCCTCTGTACTTTATGCGTAGGTTTTAGGTTGGTTAGTTGGTATGTGTTAAATTTAAATTCAATGATAAATTATTGTACACGAAAAAGCAAGACCGACTTTCGTGTCAGCCTACGAAACTAATAATAATTAGTGTATTTTATAATTTTTATGATATATTTATTTTGCCATAATAGTAATTTATTTTACAAATTGTAAAACGGTAGGTTAAATTAATTTTTCCAGAAAGTGATAGACACACTACTTTTATTAAACTAAAAAAAATATTTAATTATTATATTAGCTAGTAAGTATAATATATTTTTTTAACAAATTATTTTTAATAATTTTTGAATCAATACCGACTTACCGACAACGACTATAACAGGGTCATACTGACCATAGTACATAGTACCACATACTGTTCATAGTATAAATAGACAATATAGCTTAAAATTCACGTAAAAAAGTATTTTAAAAATGTCATTGTGCATATAATATTATATGTAGAAGTTTTAAATCCCACTAAAAATATTTTTGAATTACAACAAAATAACTAAAAAAGTTATACTCCATTTAAATATCTAATTTCACCCGAATTTGAACTTCAAATGCCTACAAAAGAAAATATAGTTTATATATTTTTAGATCTTTTGGTTCCAGTATGAAAAACCTATGATAAACTCTGTATTAAATTGTCAAGTCTCACCTAGAATTTTATAGATTCTTGACCCCAAATTAAGTTTCCAATGTTCTCGTTTTCAGAAATATCTTAAAATATAAATTTAAAATTCATATAAAAAAATTGTGTCAATGTATCTTTAATATTGTTAATTAGCTAGGTATGATAAAATCTTATGAGGAATCTCTAACAGTTTAACGACAAAAGAAAACAACTTAAAAAATTTAATCGATTTTATCAAAGAAGATTAGTAAAAAATTCCCATTTTTTTTGCCCACCCAACTAAGTAGAGTACCAACTAAATCCAATTTGCTACAAAAAATACCCCCAAATTTGAAAATCCAAAAATGTCTTTTATTAGAAAAGGTACCTATCTGTAAAAGTGCAAACACATAATTGTAAAATTAATATATGCATTGCTACTTTCTGTAGCATCTAAAATAAAAACTTCATAATATATCACAGCGCTATATGATATATTAAATATCATTATCATTTTATTGCGCAATAATTAACATTATTAACAACTATTGATTGACCTAATCTGTATTTAATGAAAAATATTATAAAGAATTGTAATAAACGGTATACATATTTTAAAAAACAAACTATAGTAACTACATAGTAGGTACCTATAATGGCTAATAATATAGTATCTTGTATTGATATACCAAATCAAGTTTCAGATTTTTTCTTTGAGAAAGGAATTACGTTTATTCATAAAAATTTTAAAAAAAGTAAATCCACCCTGCAGATATACTTCAGGGATGGTCATATCCCCCTCCCTTGTAGATAAACTACTGAATCATGATATGCTAATATTTATAAATATATTCAGACATCTTTGATTAATATTACCCAAAATATTTTTGGAAATTTTACGATTACTTATTAATATGGTTACGTATGTTATGGTTCTCCCTCGTCTAATCAATGTTAGAATATGGATGAATAATTTTGTATCCACATGACCACATCGAGGTCATTCATAAGTCATAACTCAATAGTCATTACTCATTTGTCATTAATCATAAATCATAATAAACTGGAACGACTACAAAATCACTGACAAATGTAATGGTGTATAATTGATCATCTATGTAAAACCCCTTGTGATTATTTTTAATACCCCTACGTATTTTGCCATTGCACATCAATTTTAACGATAATTATTTTATTTTATTAATGCATTTTGATGCATAATATACAACACATTTTGGTTTCTCAAAACTAATATTTCACACCAGAAAATATTGCATATAGCCATAACATTTTTGCAATGAGGCATTATATTATATGTTACATCTTATAAATGCACATTCTAAGAGATTTCATAGTTTTATTCCATTTTTATTTAAAGACTAGACATTTATACGATTAATAAAATAAATATAAAATACCTAATTTAAGATTTAACACTTGTACTCTGTAAGAAAACTAAGAAATGAGCCCTTTTTAAATTTGGTACCTAATAAAATATGGACCAATTGATCTCATAATACAGAAGGAAGATGATTAGTTATCCTAAAATTCAATGGTAAGGCCATACCAAAGTACTAACTACTATACACACCTAAAGATGTGAGATGTAGCACACATACAATTTCTCATGTGCGTCACTGCAGGGTTGATGTCATTCAGTCATTGTAAAGTAAATATAATATTGTATAGGAGTAGGACACTTCGTTTATCAAACAAATTATTATTCATGACATTAAATCGATAGTCGCTCTTTTATATAGAGGCATGCCAATTATAATTCAAGTTATAATAACATAATATATGAGGTACCTACCTATTAATCCTTATTTTTATTCCTATAATTTTTACATTTTTCTTATGAGTAATGATGTATATTTTAAGTTCTACATAATATATAATGGTGATATAGAGAACGGTATAGTCGGTACCCTACATAATTTTAATATTTATATTAATAGTATCATTAGGTATTTATATTATTTAAAATATAGGGTGATTCACTATTTCACCAAGCTCATGGCCTCATGCTCACCTTCTTCGTCTGCCAGTAACCAATCCTGATTTTTAAGACTATTCAGCTAGTAAACAAAAACCATAATATCGAATTTCAAATTTTTTCTACCACTCGAGAAGTTCTGCAGCTTTTTTTTCTAATGAAATTATCTACTTTTACTACCTACAAATTGTTAACAATTAGCAGACGCTATTCAAAAAGTTAGATAATGTTTATAAATAAAATTGTAATTAACTATAGGTATTAAGTTTCTGAATAATTCCGATAACAATAAATTAAGTAGAGAAGAGGGTTATTTTAACCTATGAAAATTTAAAAATCAATTTTAAATACATAGTATATGTATTCAGGTAGATTGATTTAATAACAATTACCATTGATATTTGATCATACACAAGTATTTAAATATATTTAATTATTAACACACATTTAATGTTATTAATAAAGTGGGTAGGTACAAATTAAAAATGACTATAATTTTTATATATTGCAAAACTTTTTTTATTTAAAGTTTGAAAATTAAGTAGAACTTATAAATGATAAAATACCTTTATATTTTTATAAAACATTCTTAAAAACATTAATATGCCTAATTATAATATTGTAAGATGTTTAATTATCTTTAAGTAACTTGATAACTGCTACCTAATAAAACTCAATATAACTTTGATTTTTGATATTTATGCAAAACATTTACAATTTTTTAAATTAATAACTATGAGGTACCTAGTTAAAAACTATATAATATTAGAAATTAACATTGCTAATTAATAAGTATACATCTCATCAGAAATATTATAAGGTACAATATATATTACATCAAAAATAAGTTTATGAGGCATCCTACTTTACTAGTTGAACCAAAAATAATTATAATTTAACATAAATCAGACAACAATAGGTAACATGAAAACAAATTAATGAAAATTAAATCACAGATGTATATATATATATATATATATATAACTAATACCTATATAATAATATAAAATAATTTTAAGTAATAGATCAATGTATATTTTTAAAGTAAAAAGTAAAATTTATAATTGTACAATTAAGACATAAAATAATTAAGATAATTGTATAAAATTTATAGGTAACATTAAAAGAAAATGATAAACTAATTGGCTTAGGTATCTACCTGCGAGTAGCATGATACCTATATTTCAATTACCTTTACTGTTAATTAGAATATGGTGTGTATTGTACACTGTATTTTTTTATTTATTTTATAATCAACATATTTAAATTAAACAAATAATTGTACAAAAAGTTTAAAAAGCTCTTTATTTTAAAGATTAATAAGACTGTTAAAAATGCAATTTATTATTGATATAATATCTGATATTTATAAAAGCTTTTTACCACAAATGTGAATGATAAAATTTGAGATCCAATTTTGGTGGAGCACCTTTTTTTCCATTAATTGTGTCATTTACATCTTTTTCTGAAGGAAGAACTGTGACAAGATTTGGTTTGTTATCCTTGAATTTATTATTGATGCTGTATTAAACGTAAAAAAAGTTTAATAGTTAAATATTTTTCTTAATTTAATTGTAAACGAAAAATTATAGAATTTGGATATCATTTTATACAATCTTTAATAGCTACTTAGTACTTACATATCAGCATTAGCAACGTATTTGTCATTCAATCGAGTTGCACTACCAGCCCCATGTAATATCTAACAGAATATAAATATTAATTTTTTTTTTTTAAAAACATACTAATATATGAATAATAAATTAGACTTATTATTTAATAAACTTTATATATTTTTGTTTGCATGGGTAAATTTCATTAATCAAAATTCGTTCTCATTTTTATAGAACCCACATTTTTTTAAGTGTCATCGCACAACCACTGACCACCACAAAAACTTAGCAAAAATTAGGGTCTTGCATTTTTATCATTGGTATTTAGTACTACAAAAACCACTCCAAACATTTACTGATCATAATTTTTTTTAGTTATTTTAAGAAATATGGTGGTCTGATATAATATTTAATTTTCAAAAATATCCATATTTTTTTTCTTGTTTGCCCCTGGTCTGTTAACATGTATGCTTCATCTATACTCTGTTCAAAAGAGATAACGCCTAATTTATGTGCATTTAGACTGACGGCTAAGTGCTTGTCTAGTTCCCATTTTCTCCTTAACAGAACTAAAGCTTTGACACGCAACTGTTTCCGGCCAAATGCCACTGATTACTTCTGTTGGTTGGTGAGGATGTGCAGTAACCTATTTTCATCTGGCAGCTGTGTGTTGTCTCGTTGAACAGAGTATAGTTACTATCTCTTTTAATATTTTTCATAACATCGTAGCCAAATCCATTCCTTTTAATCTCTATTCAAATTTAGTACTTATGCGTTAGTTTTATATTTGTAAGCCTATTCATACTTGTATTATTGGGCTTAACTCATAATACCTAGTTAATATAAAGTAAATAAATAAGTTATTATTCATACATCAGACATGGAGTCATTGTGTTTATTAGCAGCATGGCGTCCATATGTAGGTTTGTTTCTGTATCCACTTGTGCTAAAATACATAAAAAATCTAATATAATGATTGTATATTACTATTAAAATAATAAATAAATTATCAAATAAATTATAGCCAGGGTTATATATAGAAATATCTTATGAGTCATGGGGAAAGAGGGGGGGCACAAAAAAAAAATTACAATCATACATGATTATAAGTTATAATTAGATTTTAAATCTCAAAATAATGTCACAATTTATAACCAAATTACCAAAATACATGTGTTTGATAGAAACATCACATATAATTTTAATAGTAAGAGAGGTTTATACTCTGTAATAAAAAGTATAAAATACGATGAATGGGGGGGGGGAACTGGGCATTGTGACCCCCCTTAAATACGCCCCTGGTTATAGCCCAGTAAGTAACACGTACATTCTGCTGCAACCAGTGCAACCTACATTCTATAATAGGTAATGCAAATAATGATATCACAAATAAGTTATATTTTTATAATCGAAAACACCTTACCTGTCAAATTTATCTTTTAGTTGTGTTAATCCTAAAAACATAATAGAGAAAATAGTTTAAAAAAATATGTGATATAGGTAGCCATAGTAATAGCAATTAAAGTGTAAATATCAAGTTTAAAGTGTTATTACCTGGAGTATCAAAAAACTCTTCAAATATTACAAAATTATTCCCTTGATCGACTAACTTTTTAAGTGAATAATGTTTTTGCATGAATTGCAACATTTTTTTTGAAGGTTTATCTATAGCTAATTGTTTAGCTTCTAACTCGTTGTCCTAAAAAGTATGAACCTTTAAAATTATATTTAAGAGTAAGGAAAACATTTAAGTGGTATGTTTACCTTTAACATGTGTTCAACTAGTTTATTTCCATATCCTTGACGTTGTCTAGTTTCATGAATGTAAAAGTCAAGTAAACAATATACCATAGCTTCAGAACGTGAACCTTTTTTGTCAAAAAGATATAATTTTTTCCATCCCATTTTCAAAATTCCAACAATAACAAATGTCCTAAAATGTTATATTAGTGATTACTGACTAGTGTAGGTAGGTATATTATAGGTACTCACTAGTAAATAGGTAAGTGTTAAAATAAATCAAATAAATCGGGGCGGGGGGGGGGTTGGCTTGAGGAGGCTTAGCCCCCCTTCCAAAAAAAAAATATACAGTTTTTTAGTTGTCTGGAATTGAAGCTCGGGGCTCACATTGATGTTAAAAATATACCAATTATAAGATTTATATACTTACTCTTCATTTGTTTGTTCTGACAATAAATAGATTATATGATCAGATTTTGATAACTTTTCTGCAGTTGTTATAGGCATTTTTAAATCCTGTGCTCTAGCAGATGCTTTACCCATTTCGTCAATAATCATTGCAACTTTCCTTTGTAAGCTGTAAAAATAAAACAGTTATATTGCTGGTAGTGAATATAATATAACAGTTGTATAACATGCATGATTTTAATTTTTAAATCATACTTTTCATCCTCTTCGCAGCCAAGTGGTGTTAATGTATGATCAATTTTCGCGATTCCTCCTTCAGCCAGATCTTTTATATCGAATTTGAATTCCATTTCAGAGGGTTTTGTGAAAAAATCTATAAAATATGATAGATATGAAATAAGTTTGGGTATTCGATAAAAATCGAATAAGCAACTAGATATTTAAAAACATTAAATCTAGTTCGATTACTTCAGTGTGAAAGAAGCAAATAATAAGTAAAAATAAAATATTTTAACAAAGTATATACCTACTTATATTATTTAAATAACTGGTAAAAAATACGAACTGTCGCTGAACTAACGAGGGTAGGTATAATAACAGTGGTAGGCACTATACGCAGAATACAACTATGGACTATAGGGTAGGTGTAGTAGGAAAGGCGGCGATATTATGCGAATTTCGAGTAGGGCTGTCTTAGTTATTGATTTTCTTTTACAGGGTTGTGCAGCAGTAGCTATACTGCCGCTGCAGATGTTTCTATACCGCGGTAACTGTATTAACGTTACGTCGTTACCACACATCCTACCGCCGTGCTTTTGAGCTTTTCGGCAAAAAATTTTTTGATTTTTTTAAAAATAGAAATAAAAATAATAACAGTGAACTGCAATATTACAATGTCTTACAATCTAATTTTTCTCTTATACACAACCCGTAGGTAATTATTAGTAGGCAGTAACTAGCCAGTAGGCAGTTATATTTTGTATATTTACCGTCAATAATTGGTTGTTCGTTGTTGCACTCTGCAGCCTTTCAAGTATACATTTGTAAATTTATACGCATTTGGCCTTTGGCGTTTATATTAAATTATACACCTCATTTCTGAACAACAAACGTGCTTGCAAACTATTTTAATAGGTAAATATAAACCTATAATCTTGTCCTATTTTTATGGTATACAACTCTATAATAATTTGATGTCTCTAAGAAACCGCCTTAAATAATAGTTTTTATTTTCTAATTCAAGTGTAAACTATAAAAATAAAGATATAATTTTTGGTAACTGTGGGTCTCTAATAAAATAGGTAGTACCTATTACCTATAATACACAAACACGCAGTGGCGTAGCCAAGGAGGGGTTTTTTGTGTTTAAACCTCCAGTGACATTTTTTCCCTTTAATAAATGTATTATTTACATAAGAAAACTGTAATAAAACTTGGTTTAATTACCCCCCCCTCCATTTCATAATCCTGGCTACTCCACTTCAAACACGTCATAGTAATAATGAAACAGAAAGAATAGTATAGCTATAGTTAAATTGGTAAATAATATTAAATTTCCATATTATATACATTAATATATTACGCTACCCGAAAAGTTGTGTAATTATTACAATAAGTACCTACCTATAGCCACCTAGATAATACCATTTTTCTATATTATTGTACTACCCTGCTTCCTATTTGCATGCCTTATAAATTATAAGACATATCTGAAAGAAAAATAACCCCATTATTCGAATGCGAATAAATTAATAAATAATATATAGGTTGGTACAAATTAACTCGGAACTTTATTGATTGTCTGTGACTTGTGAGACGTGTTCTAAGTCCTAACTAGGTCTAAGAATTTGAAAATATTGTCCTTAATATACTTAAAATTACCAAAAATAGAAATTTAAATAAATTCTTTATTAAAGGTTAAACATGTTTAACCATGTATATGTTTAGTGATTCATTCTGTATTCATGTATCTACCTACCTATAATGAGACCGGAAGTAGCTGCGTAAGTCGTATATAGCCATATATAGGTATTAGGTATATATATAGACATATAGTATATTCACCATTGCCATCTAGGCGTTTATGACAAACAAAATCTGTAATTAGGTATTTTATTAAAATAAAATAATAATATAATATTATAATATAGGTAGGTATTTAAAAAATAATTTTTTTTTGTCTAGAGTGGCTAAAATCTATTCCAAATCTTAATTATAACAAAAAACATATAAATGATAAGCTGACACTGCAGGAGATAGCCTTTCAACTGAATTAACCAAATTAGTTTAATAGTGAATATAAACGTTTTTATTAGGTACCTATACGGCTATACCTATACTTTTCTTTTGATAAATTTGAATAGAACTTGTGTACTATATAGCTAATAGCTATATTATAATATTATGTTATATGATACGAAAATATTTATATTTTATTTATTAACCTCAGTGTTTGTTGAAAAATCCTTAGCCCATGTAAAGCAAATATTTGCTCCACTCCCCCCTGGAAAAAAATTTTAGCGCCGTGCCTGATCAAATTGAAAATGTACAAATTATTTTGTAGAAATATTTATATGTTCACAATATTTATAGCATTTTATAGAATTTATACATTCATAAATTAATACATTATAGTATAATGGTGTACAATATTTTGTTTGTACTCTTAACATAAATTACCAGGGCCATATTTACACTTTTTGCGCCCTGGGTTAACAATATTTGTATGCCCCCCAACCAAAAAAAAAAAAAAATAATCCGTTTTTTAATTGTTTAATTGTACTAATTGTAGTTCTTTATTCATGAACCTTTTGTTGAAAACAGATCATAATGATACATTATTTTAATTAATGTCAAAATGTATAACATCATACAATTGTAATCTTTAAAAAATTACAAAAATAAATAGTTATCATTGATTGACAAAATGAGTAAATGACGCCAAATGGCCGTATCATAGTTATGCAATGCAAAAAATACTCAAACAAATTCTTACCAAAAAAGAAAAAATTATTTATATAATATACACAGTCGCCTGGCCGCCCCTCTAAATAAGTAAAAAACGTGCCGCCCGGGGCAAATGTCCCCGTTGCCCCCCCTTAAATAAGGCACTGTCAATTACCTATATACTTATTGTGTGTTATATAATTTTAGAAAAATTAAAAATTCGATACAAGTCTGTTCTATAATCAATGCTTGTACTATTTCAGAATTCTCAAGTACGACTTCAATCGTTTTAATGCCGAAATCGTTCTTTCTGATTGATGACTATACGTTGATACCGATAAGGCCTAAAATTATACCAACATAGATATTGTATACAACCGGTACTTGGAAAGTTGAAACACACATGATTAGAGTAATCAATTCTATAAGTGAAAAAATATAATATCATGTTTATTGTACATTTTATATTTTTATCACAATGAACAAAAAAAAACCTTGAAGTATATACTGCCCACAGTATAAGTTCCATGCCGACAACATATACATTGTCAATTTTTCAAATTTTAATATATGCGTTATTTTAAGGACTAATTTTCAATTTTTGCAGACAAATAGTTTTTTAGTACATAAAAAAATACGGTTGACATGCTGGTGAAATATTGCAAAAATTAAAAAAATTCACCTACTTCATTTTTTAGTACCTATACAATCATTTTGCCGATAATTTTCATTTTCTGTGGACAACTAGATTTTTAGCATTTAAAAAAATATTTTACAGAAAATTAAAAAAAACCACTCGCTTTACTTTTTATTATACCATCATTTCGTAGATGATTTGCGTAATTTTGTGGACTAATATAAATATAAATTTCGAATGTGGCCCGCACGCAGGCCGCAAGTTGAAAAATGTTGGGCACGCCTGCAGGTATACAACTTGATTAGAGCAATTGGCAGATTATTTCATCGGATTATCGCTGCTTCGATAAAGTGACACGAGGATTGTCAAAGTACAACAGTTGAACAGTTTATTACTTTATTATTATATGAAACCGCAGTAGTTGCTCACAGACACTATTGTCAGTATTTTATTGTATACTCCGTGATTCTCCGCGGTTCTTTCTGTGCGTTTAATGTTGCGTGTCTGTGCATCGTTATTTGTTCGGTTATTTCAATTATTTCGTCATCATGGATGATAACAAGAACGATATTAGAGCAGGCCAAATATTCAACAGTTATGAACAATTTTTTGAAACTTTTTGTGAAGAGAATTACCAACCGTTAGTTATTACCGACAACAATTATAAGCGTCAAGTTACAATCCTTTGCCAACATGGTTACAACAGGCCTTCAAAAAGTACAGGTAAACGAACTATACTACACTACAATTATATAGGGTGCAAAGCTAAAATTACCTGTTTCAAGCCTTCCAACTCTACTCGGGTCAAGATTTCGAGTGTAAATTTAGAACATAATCACGAAATAAGTAGGACTGCGTTTGGAACGACAAGAATGAATGTCACTGGTGAACAGACAGACGTGTGATGCTGTTCGCTCCGAAAAAGTTGCTTAACCGCGATAAAAATATTTTTATGTCCGTGTCTAATTCAAACGTACCAGGGGAACAGATCACTTGCGAGTATAAGATTTTGGTTACCACTGACAGCGGCTCAGCGGACGCGTTTCAGCTTTGACCATCTTGTTGATAACCCGTCATTTGTTCTGTAATATTCGATTTTGCGAATGAGAGTAACAATATGGTTTCACTCATATATACACGGTGAATGCGGGATTTTCTTCGTTGCCAATTTGTTATATTATGTTCCCTAATAATAATAATAAAGCGCCTAATACAATCATATCAGTTTATTGTGACTAATATTTTACGACTGGCCGCGCTCGGCGCTTACGTCTAATAACATGTCTTATCGGTGAGCTGGACAATCCTCACCGCACCTTCTATTATAGCTATAACTGCTATAACTAATGACTAAATATATAATAATAATCATGATTACTGTAACCACCGTAGGTATCGGTATATAACACTTATCACCATAGAAACGAATAATAATAAACTTAAGTTATTCTGTTGTAATTTATAATATTAAATCAACTTACAGGCTGTATTAGCCCTTAAAGGCCCCCCCTATTTGCGTCCATGCGGCATGTTGCTATTCTGAACATCATATACATGTAGTCAATGAGTGTCCATAAATCATTACTTGATTGATAAATTTGATAATTTTTTATTGTATATTTTACATATTCCGACGTTATAGTGAATGGTCTCCATATTTTTGCATATTAAAAAAAAATTGCATTCAAATGTACACACCAAGGGTCCAAAAAGGGTTTGATAAAAAAAAAAGTTACTTATAGGTATGTTTATATATATTATCAAATATTTTACGTTTCAAAGAATTAAATTTGTCGTACTTATTTAAATATTATTTAATTGGTTTGCAATGTATTAATAATTAAAAGTTAACTTACAAATGACCTACATTTTTGTACTGCGCAGTGCGCAGTATCAAATTTTAATAAAACTAACAAAAAATAACACTGCAAAATTAGGATAAAATATAAAATTGAATAAAAATTGAAATTTTAGTATGCATGTTTTGCATTTTTTTCTTGCATATTTTTACCTTTTTTAGTGTATGGTTTCCATGCATTTTTTCATACTAAAATGCATATAAATCCGGTCTTTACTCATAAGTTATAACTTACCTACTGGCTACTAAAGACCGGATTTAATTGATATTGCAACTTTGTTTGCACACAAGATAAATCAAATATGTATAGGTATCTAAATTATGTATAGTTACTCTGATATTTTATCTCAAACTGACATTTTTGTAATTATGTGTAAGCATTTTATGTGTTAGAACGAAAACAATGTTTTACTTATTTTAATAAGTAAATAGGTTTATTCGAGCGTCGCAATTCGCTACCGGCCGACGGCGGCGACGAGTGCTCGTTCGGGAGCGCCTTTTATTTGTCTATAGTGTGCGCCGCGTCACTTACTTTACATAATATGTTATAATTGCCTACAAGCAGCTCGGAACAGTTTTGCTCTATCAGGGTGCGCCCGGCCTTAGTGTGCGCCGCGTCACTTACTTTACATATGTTATAATTGCCTACAAACTCTGCCTACAAACCTGCAAATTCTAAAAACCGATTTGCAATTATTTGCAATTAATTTGCTAAATATTGGCGTTTGTTTGGAACGGATCGGACAAAGTGGGGGGCTAACTTCATGGTCATCTCGGAACAGTTTTGCTCTATCAGTGTGCGCCCGGCCTAAACGTTCGTCCAGTACCATTCGTATCATTATAAAATTAATTATACGCAAATGCCTCCGTAATACCATTGAGTATAGATAAATGTAGTAGAGTTAATGTAGTATGAGTTTACCTAAATGTATGTCCCAATATATAGATCGTAGAAACTGTATTGTAACATGGCTTGATTTGTAGTTATTGAATTATTACTTATTTAAATATAATACCTATAGTAAAATCTAATAAACTATAAATAAAATAAATACAGTGCAATTAAATTAATATTAATTATCTGTGTTTTATCTTTTACATTCAACTGTTCGGATACATTCACTGCCCAGTGCCTAAAAATAACTAATTAAAAATGTATAGTTGTGTAATATAATGTTAACAAATTGTAACGTAAATTGAGCAAAGAATTATTTATATAAGTAGGTAACTGTTTGTTTAAAATTACTATACAAACTACTATATAAGTATTACACAATTAAATTAATTACAGTCTATCAAATGTATAAAATCAATCAATAGATTTAGTTATTTTAGTATGTGACCTATTATTTATCAACATATTTTTATTTAAAAAATAAATTATGATCATATATATTAATATAAAAAAAGGGTAACGCTAACAAGCAATAATTTCCTGTTATTTAACCATGAAAAAAAATTAATATATTAAGTTCAACAAATATAATATAATTTATAATTTTCTTTTTTTCCTTTATATTTCATAATATTTTCTTTGATTTGTGGGGGGTTCAATAATATCACTTTTTTTCATTCGTTTTCTGTATTGAGATTTGAGAATCAACAATTTCAGGTATTTCAGGTATAAACATTCTTCGTAAGTTCCGAAAAGTATAATAAATGCTAAACTTAAAAAAAACCAATACAATTTTACAAAATAATTCATACATAGAAACCAAAAATACAATAACATTTTAATTTACAAATAACTACAATTTCAAATTTGATTCCATTTTTTCATTCCAAAATACTTCTGAGTAATTAATATATTCGAGTTTGTTCCACTTCGGAGTAAATATAAAAAAATAGCATAAATTCCGTTTTGTGATGTGCATTTGGCCTTAAATCTGATAGTAGTAATTACTATTTTCTTTTTTAATGATCTTTTCCAATGTTTTTATTGGCATATCTTCCGATTCTTTAGCATATTCGATGGCAATAGTTTTAGTATTATTGGTATTATATAAAATTTCAAACACTGTATTTTTATACGAAGTGTTCGGACGCATTTTACAAATTTTACCAAAATTAGAAGCGTAAGACGATTTCTTCGTTCAATAAACCAAGTTTGGCTATCAGATTGGTTTCGGGTTTCATACTCTTATGTTTTTTTGGCCGTTAATGAAAGTGTAAGTAATTTTATAAATTCTGCTTTCTTTTTTAGTTTCTGATAAAATTGTAGTCAATAAATTGCACATTTTACACTTAAAATTCCATGTAGATTCAAAGCCTTTTCGATTTTCTTTCACAAACTCTATGTCAATAAAAGTGCATCCAAAGCCGCCTGGGCCCTGGAGTATGCATTTTGCTTCATGAATTTTGAATTTGTAGAAATATATATATTATGTCTACAATTCGTCTACCACCAAGTACACTATTCGATTTACTACAAAAATATTTAATGATATTATTGTAATTCTATAGTAAAACTTTAAAATAATGATTTTTTTTTAAATGTTTGAAACATAAATGTATACATTAAATTGTTTTATTTTTTAAAGAACAAAAGTTGTTTGTTTATTATCTAATGAAATAAATAAATATTAAAATTAAGCAAAAAAATATATTTGATCGGCATGTAAAATTTGTTAATATTGTGTAGGCGTGCCAGTATATAAATACGTATAAATATAAAACAAATGAGTAGGTAAACAAATGAATTAAGTCAACTTTTTTTAGTCATAGTAAAAATAAATTATGGTGTATATAGATATAGTTTTAACTGTTGATACTTTCTATCGTGGTTTCGAGTTGATGGGATGGGTTGTTATGTCTGAAATATTCAAATCGTTAAGCCCACTAAAAAAAATTGGATATTTCTCCAATTGGTGTTGTGTTAAACTCACTGGGAAAGTTTTATATTCCTAATTTATATTTAAAAATAAAGATACTAATTTATCTAACTTACGAGATTTCACGTACATTACCCTGGCCCCCCTCATTGAACTTTTTACAAAAAAAACTAAGTCTCGAATTAGCACGCCATTAGAACGCATTTGCACGACTATTTTTAGAAGTTGCACGACATTTTTTTACGAGTTATTTATAAAAAACTATGGAGGGGCTGGCGTAACGTTACCCCAGCCCCCCCACAAGTGAAATAATCACTTTTTTACAATTTTTTTTTTATCAAACATTAAGATGCATTTGCACGACTGTCGCTGAACCCGAAACTTTACGATTTTCCCGGAAAAACCAGTTTTTCACTTTCAGGCATTACCCCAGCCCCCCACAAAAAGGAAATAATCACTTTTTTACAAATTTTTTTTTACCAATCATTAGCACGTCATTAGCATGCATTTGCACGACTGTCGCAGAACGCGAAACTTTACGATTTTAAACTTTCACGCTTTACCCCTGCCTACTTTAGCTTTCCCCCCTCGCATATGAAATAAACCTTTTTCACCGTTTTTTTTTTTTTTTTACTTCATATACGGTATTTTTTATAGGACTATTTCTAATATTGTCTCATCAAAAACTCATAAGTAAAATGTACGCATAGGAATCTTGTAAAGTAGGTACTTGAGTTAACTGTAAAAGTATTCAACTACCTACTTTTTGAGTAACCAATAGTACGTATTTTTAATACTTTTGAAAAAAGTACTTGAACAAAGTATGTACCTACTGTTGTATAATTTAACTACGAATTGGTGTTTTTAGACATTCATTGTCATTTTAAATTTTAAATGAGTGATTTTTAGTTTTCACCAATACAATACTTCGAGATAAGTATTTTTTACACATAATATATTAATATCATAATCAATACTTACATTTGATTTAATTTACATTAACATTGAACACGATTAGCATGCATATTTTAAATTGTACATTACACTCAAATGCTAACATTTAATATTGAACTAATTGGTATTATAATATTATACTATAGCTAATCCCGTGCACTTCGTTTCCCGTTAAATGTACCAACTCTATATGACTCAAACATTGTTATTAGTGTGCGCTGAGTGTCTAGGGACAGACCGAATAAAAGCTTAAAAATAAAAA